TAAAAAAAAATCTTTAAAAGACAATTTATGCGGCTGGACACCATGGCTCACGCCTATAATCCCAGCGCATTGGGAAACCAAGGCAGATGGATCACTTGAGGCCAGGAGTTAAAGACCAGCCTGGATAACATAGAGAGACCCCATCTCTACAAAATAAAATTCCAAAAACATTAGCCAGGAGTGGTGGTGCATGCCTGTGGCCCCAGCAACTGAGGAGGCTGAGGTGGGAGGAGCAATTGAGCCCAGGAGGTGCAGGCTGCAATAAGCACTGCAGTCTGAGTGATAGAGTGAGATCCTGTCTCACAAGAAGACAATTGACATTTTTAAGTAAAAATAATATATTATGAAATTTATTATATAAAAATGAAACACATGACAACCATAGGACACAGAAGGGTGAAATAGAAGTGATATTACTTAAAGTAGACTGTAATAAGTTAAGATGTTGTCGTAGATTAAATGGTGGCCTCCAAAAAGATTTGTCCACATGCTAATCCCCAGATCTTGTGAATGTTAAATTGTTTGGAAAAAAGGTTTTTGCAGATACAATTAAATTAACGATCTTGAGATGAGATAATCCTGGATTATCTGGTGGGTCCTAAATCCCATAATGAGTGCTCTTATAAGAGACACACAGAGGAGGGACAGACAGAGAAAGGAGGAAGAAGCAAAGCGACTGTGGAGGTAGATATTAAAGTGATGCAGCCGCAAGCACAGAGATGCTGGTAGCCACCAGAAGCTTGAAGAGGCAAGGAACGGCTTTCCCTCTAGAGCCTCCAGAGGGAATGTGACCCTTCCAACACCTTAATTCCAGACACCTTGCCTCCAGAATTGTGGGAGAATAAATTTCTGCTGTTTTAAGCCACCAAGTGTGTGGTGATTTGTTAAGATGTATATATGAAGTCTAGAGAAATAACTAGGAAAAGAAAATAAAGAAATACAGCTGGTAAGCCAATAATGGAAATAAAATCACATCACTAAAAAGTCCTCAACTAAAAGAAATAAGAAAAGAAAAACATATGAACAAGACACAGATGGGACAAATGAAAAACAAATAGCCAGATGGCATTAATAATTACATTAAATGTAAATGGACTATAGGTACCTAGAATCATCAAATTCACAGAGACAGAAAGTAGAATAGTGGTTCCATGGTCTGAGGGAGGGGAGAATGGGGAGTTAGTATTTCCTGGGTGCAGAGTTTGGGTTGATGAAAAAGTTCTGGAGATGGATGGAAGTGAGATTGCACAACAATATGAATATATTTAATATCACTGAATTATGCATTTAAAAATGGCTAAAATGGTTAATTTTATGCTATGTATATTTTGCCACAATAAAAAATGTAAGTGAACTAAACCCTCTAATTAAAAGGCAGAGGTTTCCAGATTATATAAAAAGACACAATTATTTGTGTCTATAAGAAACCTACTTTAAATAGATGCAGTCTAAAAGTATAGAAAAAGATGCACCATGCTAAAACTAACAGAAAGTTTGAGTGTCTATATTAATATCAGACAAAGCAGATTTCAGAGTAAGAGATATCACAAGGGATAAAGGAGACATAAAAGGGTATTATAATCTAACGAGGTATGAAACAAAAATTGATAGAATTGAAAGGGGAAATTTAAAAATGTAGTTACAGTTGAAGATTTTAACACTTTTCTCTCAGTAATTGATAGAAGTAGTAGAGAAAAAATTAATGAGGATATAGAAGATCTGAACAATACCAACTTGACCTAATTGACACTTATGAAATGTTTTATCCAACAACAGCAGAGCACACATTCTTTTTCAAGTGTATAAAGAACATCTACTAAGATAGACCATAATCCAGTACATAAAACAAATCATAATGTATTTTAAATGATTTAAATCATGCAAAGTATGTTCTCTGACCACAACAAAACCCAGTGCCAAAAGAGAGCTGGAAAAAATCCCAAAATATTTGGAAATTATACACTTCTAAATAATCCATGAGTGAAAAAGGAAGTCACATTTGAAATTAGAAGATATTCTGAACTTCATGAAGGTGAAAACACAACATATTAGCATTTGGGGATGCAGCTAAAGCAGTGCTTAGAAAAAAGTACATAGCATTAATGTTTCTATTACAAAAGAAGAACATCCTCGAGTCAATGATCTTAGCTCCCCAATATTTTCAAGATGTCAGTTTTCCCTGATTTCATCTAAAGGCCACAATTCCAGTCAAAATTTCAGCAGGGTTTTTTGCAGAAAATGACAAACTGATTCTAATTTTTGTGTAGAAATTAAAACAATTAAAAATGCCTGGAAGAACCAAAATCATTTTTTAAATGAAGAACAAAATTGGATTTCTGTATTTTTAGTAGAGATGGGGTTTCATCATGTTACCCAGGCTGTTTTCAATCTCCTGACCTCAGGTGATCCACCTGAATAGAGCAAGACTCCATCTTTATGCTACCTGGTTTAAAAGCCTATAATAAACCTTGAGTAATCACAATACTATAGTTCTGGCATAAAAATATACATATTCACATAAAGATGTACATTGCATAGATCAATACAACAGAATAGAGAGTCCAGAAATCTACTCAAATATATATATATATATATATATATATATATATATATATATATGGCAAATTGATTTTTGATAAAGATACCAATGTGATTTGATAGGGAAAGGAAAATCTTTACATGAATAGTACTAGAACAATTAGGCATCTATATGTTAAAAAAGAAAAGAAAATGACCCGTTACTTCAACCCATATACAAAGATTAACTCAAGATGAATCATAGACCTAAATATAAGAGCTCAAATTATAAAACTGATTCCAGATTTTTTTAAAAAGGCAAATGATGCGAACAGACACTTTACCAACGATACCACAGATGGCAATGTAGTTGAAAAGATGGTGTTATGGACTCAATGTTTATGTCTCCTCAAAGTTACACGTTGAACCTCTAACCCCCAGTGTAGTGGTATTTGGAGGTAGGGCCTCTGGGAGGTGATTAGGGTCAGCTGAGGTCATGAGGATAGGGTCTCATGATGGGGTTCATTTTCTTATAAGAAGAGGAAGCAGGCTGGGAGCAGTGGCTCACACCTGTAATCCCAGCACTTTGGGAGACTGATGTGGGCAGATCATGAGGTCAGGAGATCAAGACCACCCTGGCTAACACAGTAAAAACCCATCTCTACTACAAAAATACAAAAAAAAAAAATTAGCCAGGTGTGGTGGCACGTGCCTGTAGTTCCAGCTACTTGGGAGGCTGAGGCAGGAGAATCGCTTGAACTGGGAGGTGAAGGTTGCAGTGAGCCAAGATTGTGCCACTGCATTCCAGCCTGGATGACAGAGAGAGTCCGTCTCAAAAAAAAAAAAGAAGTAGAAGAAGAAAGAGGAAGAAGGAGGAAGAAGAAAAATGAAGAAGAAGGAAGGAAGGAGGAAGGAAGAAGAAGGAAGGAGGAAGGAAGAAGGAGGAAGAAGGAAGGAGGGAGGAAGGAGGAGGAGGGAGAGGAGGAGAAGGAGGAAGAGGAGGTGGAGGAGGAGGAAGAGCAGCAGCAGCAGCAGCAGCACCAGAGTGCTCTGATACTCTTATTCTCTCCTGTCTCTCTCTCGCTCTCTCCTTCCACCCTTGACCTTGTGAGGACTGAGAGAAGGAAGCTCGCATACCAGGAAGAGAGCCTCACCAGGAGCCAAATCTGCTATCACCTTGTTCTTGAATTTACCAGCCTTCACAACTATAAGAAATAAATCTCTACGGTATTCTGCAGCTCAAGCTGACTAACACACATACTCAGTGCCATTAGTCATTAGGGAAATACATTTTCAACTGCAATGTGATACCATTGTACCTCTAGAATGGCTAAAATGGAAAAGATGGACAATACCAAGTGTTGATGAGAATGTGGAGCAACTGGAACTCTCATACCTTGCTGGTGGAAATGCAAATAGTACATTTACTTTGGAATACAGTTGGCAGTTTCTCTCTCCTTCCTTCCTTCCTTTCTTTCTTCCTTCCTTCCTTCCTTCCTTCCTTCCTTCCTTCCTTCCTTCCTTCCTTCCTTCCTTCCTTCCTTCCTTCCTTTCCTTCCTTCCTTCCTCCCTCCCTCCCTCCCTCCCTTCTTCCCGCAAAGTCTTGCTCTGTTGCACAGGCTGAAGTGCAGTGACATGATCTCGGCTCACTACAAATTTTACCTCCCAGGTTCAAGTGATTCTCCTGCCTCAGCCTCCCAAGTAGCTGGGATTACAGGTGCCCACCACCATACCTGGCTAATTTTTATGTTTTTAGTAGAGACAGGGTTTCACCATGTTGGCCAGGCTGGTCTCAAACTCCTGACCTCAGGTGATCTGCCTGCCTCAGCCTCCCAAAGTGCTGGGATTACAGGCATGAGCCACTGCACTCCACCTAGTTGGCAGTTTCTTATAAAGTAAAACATTCACTAATATAACTAATAATGACCCAGCCACATCAGTCTTAGATACTTATCCAGGAAACATGAAAACTCAGGCCCATGCCAAGACCTGAACATGAATACCAATGCCACTCATAAAAGCCAAAACCCAAAAGCAACCCCAAAGGGCCATCAGCTGACAAATGCATACACAAACTACCGTGTACCCATATAGTAATGCTGAACTAAAGGCATGGATTGTTGATACAAGAAACTATGGTCCCCAGGACCCTGGCAAGTTCCCAGAATCCCTCCCAGATATACTTTTTTTTTTTTTTTTTTTTTTGAGATGGAGTCTCACTCTGTCACCAAGGCTGGATTGCAGTGGTGCAGTCTTGGCTCACTACAACCTCTGCCTCCCAGGTTCAAGCGATTCTCCTGCCTCAGCCTCCCAAGTAGCTGGGATTATAGGTGCCCGCCACCACGCCCAGCTAATTTTTGTATTTTCAGTAGAAACGGGGTTTCACCATGTTGGCCAGGCTGGTCTTGAACTCCCGACCTCATGATCTGCCCACCTCAGCCTCCTAAAGTGCTGGGATTACAGGCATGAACCACCGCGTCTGGCCAGCAATACTTTTATTAAAATAAACTGAGCAAGGCCAGGCAGCTCAAAATGATCCACACAAGGGGGTTCAAAGATAATCCGACGATGGAGACAGGAGATGGGGTGGGAGGGAAGCGGGGCACGAACACACAGAGAACAGTGGGACTATGGAAGGACCCCCGCGGCCTTGGGCCCTCCAGCTGGGCTGGGAGGCAGGCTGTGGCTCTGGGGACGACGAGGGTCAATTCGGGGCTCCCTGGGGCGTCGCGTCCCTGTGTGCCTTCTGCCTGTGCTTGCAGAACAGGCCGTATAGCACCCGCAGTGTGCTCTTGGCGTCCTTGTTCACGATGTCTGTGGGCCAGAGGAGGGCAGGGCAGCCGGTCAGGCCTGGGTGGCAGTGACCCACCGTCCCAGAGTGCCCCATACTGAGGGGTCTCCTGGCATTCAGGATTTCAGTGCTAATACCAGGAGAATCCCTGGAAGCCATAACAGCTGGTCACTCCAGGCCTGAGTCCAGCGCCCGCTGCATGACCTGCCACCTCCTCCTGGCCAGTCCTCCCCTGAGCCCTCCTGGGGTACCCCCAACACAGCAACTCCTCAAGGTCTGGCTTCTCTGGACAGCCTGTCCCCAGAGACCTTGGTCTCCCCTCCCCAGAACCTCCCCCTTGGTGCTGCAGTGCCCCCACCCAGGAAATCTTGGCAAGTGCCCATTCTCCACTCCTGTCAAGCAAGAAGGCTCTGCCAATGCATGCTAATCCCTCGATGCCCTTCACCCTGTTCTGTGTCTCCTGCATGAGGCTGCCACACAGGGCTGCCCACCGCATGGGCATCTGCCATGCACTCACCTTCAGGGCTGACGGGGCAGCTAAGCAGATCCTCCTCCTTCAGCAGCTCCAGCGCCAGGGTGACATTGTGCAGCTATGGTGACAAGGCCCCATCAGATGTGGGCACAAGAATCATCCCCAGCCCAGGCCCTGGGTCCCAAGTGCCAAGCCCTTCCTGTTGTCTGTGATGTCCATCATGAGCCCAAACTCCCATTCAAGGTGGGTATCCCTGACTACAACCACAATCCACGCTCATCCAGCATCTCCCAACAGCCCCCACGGATGGGGAGCTCTCTCCGTCACACAAGACACACACGCCTCATTCCTCAGCCACTCACAGGCCCCACTCTGAGCAGGCGCTATACCACACTGGGTACACACATGTGTCCAGGGGCCACCCTCAGTGAAAAAGGCAATCACCAAGGATGATACCCAGCAGGAATCAAGGAAGGCTTCCTGGTGGAGGTGACATCCAGTGGGGCATCCTGCCAAGCAAGGAGAACTACCCAGGGAAAGGAGCAAGGGCCCAGGCATGGCAAAGCCCCTTTGAGAACAGCCATTTCCCAGGGCAAAGCACAGTGAGGAAACTGAGGCTTGGAGGAGTGAAGGGGCTCACTGGAGCTTGTGAGACACAAAGTGTTGGAACCAGGTCTGTCCACTCCAATGCCCATGCAAAGTAGGCTAGGAACTGGAGAGGCCCCCACCCAGGTGGCTATCCCTCTAGCCATCCCTTGCCTGGGCTGCAGTCTCAGACACAACTCCCTTTAGGGTGGAGGACTTCCGGGCATCTGTCAGGTCCCCAGGGGTTCAGAGGCCAGCACAGTCCCTGCCCAGGGCCTCCCATTGCTCACCTGCAAAGTGGGCTACCACAGTTCCCATGTGCCTTGCTATAGGACACAGTGAGAGTCCAGGAGCCCTGCTGGCCTTCCTGCAGTGGGTCCCCTCAGTGTCCACTCTAGCTTCTCCCTTGGGCCTCAGGTCCAGCCACACTAGACCCCAGCCCTTTGCCTGAGAGCCGCAGCCTGGTGTGGGTGAAGAGGGACTAGTTCCTGGCTCACTGTGTGACTTCAAACAGGTCCTCCCTTCAACGCCTTAGCTACCCATAGATCCACAGTGGGCCTGGACATTCCAGTCCCGGGGTCGGCCATGCCTGGTCCCGTTCCCTGCATGTCTGCCTGGCCATGTCAGTCTCACTAGGCCAGAGCAGTGCCCATGGCAACCCAGCCAGGGGCCAAAAGGCCAGGTTGGCTGAGTGTTGGGTGATCAAGGCCAGGCAAGACTCATTGGGAAATGCCAGCCTGGCCCAGGTCACCTCCAGCCACCTTCTAGAGGGCCGCAGCAACAGGACTCTTGGATCTAGCGTGGCTGTCTGTGTACCACCACCACCCCCATCCCGCCACTAAGTGTCTGGCCTCGGACAAGTCCCACATCCTTGCTTGGCCTCAGCTGCCTCATCTGTGTCATGGGGATGATGCATCTGTCAGCCTCCCTCTCCATGGACACACAAGGCTACCATGTGTGTCCAATGTGATGACAGACACTGAACTGAACCCACAAAACAAGATTTGAAGGTGAAGATGATGAAGGCACAGGAGCTGGAAGTGGGTGAGCAGAGTCCTTCTCCACCTGGGGATATGAAGATGAAAGGTGGGTCCCAGATAGAAAGGAGGGTATGGGCGGGGCACCCAGCAGCAGCAGGGTTGCTCCTCCATAGTCAGTTGGTCAGCAAAAAGAAACAGGCCAGGTACTGTAGCTCACACCTGTAATCCCAGCACTTTGGGAGGCCAAAGTGGGTGGATCACCTGAGGTCAGGAGTTCGAGACCAGCCTGGCCAACATGGTGAAACCCCATCTCTACTAAAAATACAAAAATTGGCCAGGCATGGTGGCACGTGTCTCTAATCCCAGCTACTTGGGAGGCTGAGGCAAGAAAATCGCTGGAACCTGGGAATCGGAGGTTGCGGTGAGCAGAGATCGCACCACTGCACTCCAGCCTGGGCAACAAGAATGAAACTCCATCTCAAAAAAAAAAAGAGCTGAAGAAACAAAGTCTGTCACATGGTGCGCATGCTGCAGGCGCCAGTGCCACTGAGAGTTCCCATCACTGTGCCCCAGTTCCTCCCCCACACTGGAATATTCTGGAAAACTAGGGTTGCAGTTGCTGCTATTGTTGACAATCTCGTCATGAATATTATTTGCAGTTACACGGAGAGCGAGTGCTGGAGAACAAGATCCTGAAGACCCTGAGGTGCCAGACTCCACACTGTGCTCTCCCGCCTCAAAGCCCCGCCTTTGATATACTCAGTGAGCCAGCATCTCCCAACATGTGATCTAGGATGGACAGCAAAGGGGTATCTGTGGCCAAACATTTTTGGAAACTGTTGGGTTAAATAAAATAATATGGAATTCCTTAGCTGTAGGACTTATCAGAGCCTTGAATATGTTAGTGGGTCTTACAAACCTTCAAGAATAGGCATGTTATTTATTCATAGGACCCATGTGTCACAGAGCACCTCCTGGGACCAGTGTTTTAGAAACACTGTTCATTTACTTATCTAAAAAATATTTGTCATCTACTATGTGCTGGCCATGCAGCTAGTGCCCAAGACAGACCAGATCCTCTGCCCTCATGGAGTTTATGCTTTGGGAATTGCCATCAACACTGAAAGCTATGACATCTGCTTCTGTTTGTCACACTCTTCCTCAATGACACTCACTCTGAACAAAAGATCCTCTCCCAGAAGAGCTGACCCTGGCTCCAGAGCTATCTCACCATGCTCTGTCCAAAGATTTTTATTCTGTGTGTGATTTGAGATGATGAAGATAAAACTAGGCTCTTTCCCGGAGCCAAGGGAAGGTTGCAACCCCGGAGGATGAATTCAGGTGCTCCTGGGGAAAAATAACGGAATATGGAAGGACGCCAAGGATTCCTGGCTCCAGGGGTTCGATTTCTGGAAGCAAAGGATCCCCTCTCTCCCTCCACCCCTAACTTCTCTGCCCAAAATGAATGACTATCTCCCGTAAACACCAAGGGCAAACAAGGTCTGATAATGAGAAATCCAATTTCAAGAGGCCACTCTGCCAAGGTAACGATCCTGCAGGTGGCCCACCTTCCGCGAGGGCTGCTGCTCCCACCCTCCTCAGCTAACGACCTCTTCAGCATTCTGATTCCACATTCCTGCGGCAGAGATTGCCCACAATATGCTGTTAAATTCATTCTCGGGGTCTGAGCTAAGAGGCTGCTGCTCTTCCCCCACATCTAATCTGACTCATATTCAGAAGCAGGTTCTAAAATCAGTGGATTCAGCAAAGCGGCTGCACACAGCGACATGGAAGTCTGCATGTTTGTTCCCAGCTTGTAACTGGGGCTTGGACGGTGCAAACTGAGCAGAGGCCTTGCAGGCCCAGGGAGCGGCTCTGAGCTGGGTTCTGAGCCCCAGTCCCTCAGCCCGCAGGTGGTCCTGCCTGCCCCTCCCTCACCGCACACACCTCAGTGCCTTGCCTTCCCGAGTCAGGCTCTGACCCCACTCTTAGCCCTGGCTTCAACCCCCTGAGCCCTGGCACCCCTCCACCTCCCAAGGGGCTCAGGCTGGCTCCACAGGAGGGAAACAGGGAGGAACCTAACTCGCCATGTGCTCTGGGCCAGATGTCCGTGCCTCTCTGAACTGTTTTCTCTGTGGAAATAGGGATGGGAAGAGTTCCCAACTCCAAGACCCAATGCAAGGATTTGCTAGCACGTTCGTCCACGCTGCCTGCGGGTGATCTCCCCACCAGCCCCATTCTGCATCCACAAGCTTTGCAGGGCAGACCCGCGTCACCACCAAGGCCACAGGGCCTGCTCCGAAGTGGCGGCCTGCCCATTCCAAGCCAGGGCCTCCTGCCTCCTGCCTGGTCTCCCGTGTGTCTGCCATTGCCCAGAGGAAAGTATGCCCAGGTCAGCCGCTGGTCCCAGGAGGAGCGTGGCAGGCTGTGGCACAGAGCCGAGCCACCCAGCCATGGCAGCTCCCCATCCAGTCCTCGGAGGAGCAACAAAGCCCAGCTGAGCCTCCAGCAGCTAAACTCAGCTGACCTGCTGGTCCGTGGGAAGAGATGAGCATGCTTTTCAGCCCCTGGGTTTTTGGGTGGTTTGTGGCAACAGCTGCCTGATATGGCACCTCCAAATGGAAGAACCTAAGAAGCAGCTGCCACTGTGCCTGCCACGACCACCGGGACTGTAGACACTGGCTGCTATGGCCTCATTGCTCTGACCCAACATCCCAGCTCTTGGGAACCAAGTCAGAGTACCCCAGCCTCCAGGGAAGGTGGAGGCCACACCCACTCGAGACGCATTCCTGTGGGGTTGAGGGACACGGCAGGCTGTGGGCGACAGGCCCGTCCTGGTGTGAGGCTGCCACTGAGCAGCAAGGTGGTCCTAGTTAAGCCTCTCCGCCCTGGGCTCCCCTTTGTAGAATGGAGATGCAACCCTGACCCGCCCTCGCAGGGGCACGGAGGGAGGGTGACCTGGGAGAGGGCCAGGAGACGCAGTGTGCAGGGAGCTAACCCCAAAGGAGTGTGGACCGTGGTTCAGGGCCCCACAGAGTGCCAGGGGACTGCAGAGGAGCTGAGAAGGTGGGCAGAGCTGGCCGCCCGCCCGGGGAAAAAGGTGGGAAGCAAAGCCGGGTAGGCTGGGCTGAGAGCACCGCCTGGGTGGATGCGAGGGAGTGGGGGAGGACCAGACCCTGGAGAGCTGGAAGTGGGGCCAGGGTTCACGTGGCTGTAGCACACGGCTGTGGCTGGGAGTCAGCAGGACAGGAGGAGGGGACATGGCTGGGGAGGTAGATGGGGCTTGGCAGGTGGGTGCTCTACTTGAAGCAGAGAAGAGGCCCAGGGGCAGGTGTGCAGGAGGGGCCAAGGGGAGGGGCCTGGAAGAAGGGACCAGGTAGAGGGGGAGTCTGGTAGGGGCCCAGCGGGGACCTCACCTGCTACTGGGCCACAGATAGGCCAAGAGGCCTGATCCAGTGCCAGGGACGCCCTGGGCATGTGATAGGGACAAAAAAAAAAAAGCCCTTGTCTCCCTCAGAAATAGCCCCGAAGGCTGGCCCTGGGCATGCAGCCCTGCCTGATGTTTTACCTCTTTAGAAAAAGCTACTGCTGAGAGAGATAAAGAGATCCTTCCGTCCTGGGCTACCTGGCATGGACAGAGATAAGCTGGCCGCCCGGGATCCTGGGCATGCCACCAGCCACCAGCACTCCAGCCTGTCCATTGGAAGTATGGATGGAGGCTGCACACCTCCCATGTCTCCTCCTGTAGGGGGCAAGGCTGGGGGGACTAGGGACCACACGTCCCTCAACGCTTCCTCCTTGATGGTTCTCCAAACTCCTTCTTACTACCTATGTGTCCTGGGTGGGGGGCAGGGATTGTCAGCCTGTTTCAGAGACAGAAAACCTGAGGCCCAGGCAGGCAGGAGCTGGCGGTGGAGAACCTAAGACCCAGGTCTCTCACCTGGCAGTGGCCCAGGGTAAGCCTCGGTCCCACACCATGGACCTCTGCTTCCTTACTTGGAAAATAGTGCAAATCCCTTCTCATGGGCCAGGTCTACCAGTAGGAAGGGCATTCCTGGCAGGGAAACAGCCTGTGCCAAAACCCAGAGGTGGGAGAGCCCAGTGAGCTCAAGGAAGTGGTGGGGGTGGAGGCAGGACCAGCCAGTGGGCACCGAAGGCCACAGCTGGGGAAGAGGTGGTGGGAGCTGTGAGTTTGCAAGCTCACCTGCTCTCCCATCTTACCTCAATCTCCCTCAGCTTCATCACTCTCTCCAGCCCTCTTCCCCAAGTCAGGCCTCAGCCCTAGTGCCTGCATGCAGGCAGCTAGCTCCCAGCCACCCCACCAGCCTCCAGGGTCCACATGGGAACTCCTGATCCCCCCAGCTCAGGCCCCACCCTTCCAGCTCCTGCAGCCAGAGAGAAGCACCGACACTTTGCTGACCCAACCCTGTTTGTGCCCCACTCTGAGGCTTTGCTGATGCTGTTCCCTCCCCTCTGGGAGCCCTTCCTCAATAACTCTGCAAACCAATCCCTAATCAACCTCCCGGCTCACCTCTGAGCCAATGCCCTTCCAGACTCCTTGAGATTATACTAAGCTCTCATTCTTCCAGGCCCCTCCTCTGACCCACACATCTGAACCAACACATTTCACTGTGGTCCTGCAAGAGCACACGTCACTGGGAGAACAGTGAGCATAGATGAAGAGGTCCCTGAAATGAGGAGCTGCGTTGAATCATCTTAATGTCCCGTGCAGCTTGGGGCTGGCACTAAGCAGGCCTTCAGGGAATGAGGGAACAGATGTGTGGGTAGGAGATGGGTAGATAAGCAGGTGGGTAGATGGGCAGGCAGGTGTATGGATGGATTGGGTGCATAAATCAACAGAATGGGAAGATGGACTGGAGCACAGCCATATGGATGCATGAATGGGGAAGCAGGTGAATGGACAGGTAGGCAAGTGGATGGATGAATGGATGGATGGCCAGAAAGACATATACATAAACAAACTTCCTATGTGTGGGTAGACAGGCAGGCAGGTAGATGGACAGGTGGGTGGGTGGGTGGCTGGATGGATAGATAAATGGATAGGTGGATGGGTAGATGGATGGGTGGGTGGATGGATGGATAGGTATATAGGTGGATGGATGGATGGATGAGTGGGTGGATGGATAGGTATGTTGGTGGATGGATAGGTGAATGGGTGGATGGATGGATGGATGGATGGATAGGTATGTTGGTGGATGGATAGGTGAATGGGTGGATGGATGGATGGATGGATGGATGGATGGATGGATGGATGGATAGATGGATGGACTAGGTAGATGAATAAACACACAGGAAAACAGGTGCATGGACAGGCAGGTAGGTGGATGAACGGGGGGGCAGGTAGATGGATGGGTGCATAGATGGCGGGTGTAGCTTGGTAGGTGAACAGAAGTGATAATAGGTAGATGGGCAGATGGGAATGAATAGATAGTAGATGATGGATGGATGCATAGGTGAATGGGTGGATGGATGGATGGACAGGTAGACATAGCTAAACAAGCTTCCCCTACACCTTCACTTCACCTGGAACTGAATAAACACACGTGTCATGTCATTTCTGTTTATCTGTTCACCCAGAGGTAGACAATCAAGAATCTTTGGAGAACTTACCATTTCTGCAGGAGAGTTGGGTGTGAGGTAGAATTCCTTTAAGTGCAGGAAGAAGCCTTCAAGTTGTCCAATCAACAAGAGTAAGATGACCCCATCTGCAAACTACAAAGGAAGGAACGGGAGACCATCACATGGAAGAAGCCTGGGGAGGTCCACTCTGTCTTTTACAGGCTGTGTGGTCCTAAGGAAATCACACAACTTCTCTGAGCCTCTGGTTCCTTGGTGAGAAGTGGGGAAGACTTTCCTGGCCTCACAGGGTTGCAAGTAAAATGCGATTTCAGGCTGCCTGGTACATAGTGTTTGCTCAGTAAAAAGAGTGTTTCCTAAACTTGCTATAGAATAGCCTCATACCAGTTTTTAAACACCACGCTGTTCCACAAGCTACAGAAACATGGGAAAACAGAGTTATGCGTAAAATTATTCCATCAGGGAAAGGCAGAGAGCGGCACACGGGGCCCATCTTGCCAGTTGCCATATTAATATTTCTGTCTGTTCTGAGATAAAGCTGTCGTCCCTACCACCAGCATATCATATGCTAATATAATCCTATTGAGTCTCTTCAAAGATACAAAACACAGGATGGGATATTGGAAGAAACCGCCATTCAAAGCCCTTAATGGAATTTCCTCCTATTACTGTTTCAATGTTATTAGTTTGGGCCTGAAATCTTTTCTGCCATTATTCCTCGGTAATACAACGGGAATGCAAGGGACTTCCTTCCCCTGCTTTATTGAACAGTCTCTAAATACCAACTTGGCACATGCCATGAGTATCCAAAGCCGTTATTTTACCAAGGGAGAGATAAAGATGGAATAGGTAATATGTAAATCTCAGAAATCATCCTGTTTATACCCACATAAAATATAAAACTGCAAATCTCTCATTTATTTCATGCTGGCAGCGTGCCAAGTAATAGACCAAACATATGAGGCTCACTGGCTCATGTACCACCTATAATTCTATGAGGTTGTCATCTTGTACCCACTTTATAAGAGGAGCCTGAGGTTCAGAGAAGACCAGTAACTCACCCAAGGTCACACAGCAAACGTGGAGGGGTGTCAGCAGAGCCCAGGGACCATCACTGGTGGAGGCAGGAGGGAAATGTGTGTCTGTCTGGCTTCAAAGCCTGGTATTTCCACCCTGCCATGCTGCCATACCATATAACACATAAACTTCTTACGTGGCCACATGTGAGGTGGTTATAAGCACAAACTCTGGCCCCAGCTGCCTGGGTTCAAATCCCAGATCCACTACATATCACTGTGTGATCTTAGACAAGTTAATTATCCCCTCTGTGCCTTAACATCCTCCTTTGTAAGTGAGGTAATACAGTTCCCACTTCAGGGGATTTGGGGAAGAATTCAATGAGTTAATATAGGAAGCATTTTGCTGGGGGACTGGCATCTAGTAAGGGCTTTATTGCTTTTAGCTACTGGGAGTGGGAGTACATCGCCCCATTCCTCCCCAGCCGATGCCCATCCAGAGCCTCTCTGAAAGGTCAGCAGCTCTGGCTACTTTTTTCATGAGCCAGTTGGTCCATCTGGGACCAGACTCCCTCCCCGCCCCAGGCCCCAGCACCTAGCAGAAGCCAGGTGGCTAGATGCCTACGTCATGTCCCATTGAGGCCACTGGCATCCAGCAGACTCCATGCCCACTCTGCAGGTGCCAGGCTGGCAGTTAGCCACTCTGCTCGTCTGCCCCCATCCCTTGCATTGCAGGCACAGTGCCATTGTGGAAAGCCACAGCCCACGGTCAGTGCTGACCCCCAGTATTCTGCTCCTGCTCCTGCTCCTGCTCCTGGGACGATTCAGCCTAAGGCAGCCAGGGGAGGGCTGGGCTCCTCAGGGTGCTCATGAGAGATGCAGAGCCTGCAGACAGTGGGGCTGCGTTGTCACCTACGCCTGGCACATGGCACAAACCTAATAAATTCTGTTTGGGCGAACACAACCACGCAGGGAAGACTCATGTGCTTCAAGTCTGGGCATGGGCTAGGCTAAGATTAATTATGAAATAAAATTATAACAATGAGAAGCAGTGACAGCCGAGGTGACTCCAGCTTGGTGAAGTGTTCCCACGCCCCCGCCCCCGGGATCCTGCTGTGTCCCTGGTGGCCAGTGCTGCCTGCCAGCAGCAGTCACACTGAGGAGGGGGAACCTGAGGCTCCAAGAGGCGATGCAACCCCCACCACCACACAGCGGGTTCCTGGGGTGCACAGACCCTTTCCTTCCTAGGGTCAGTGGCCCTGCCCTGCCTGGAGATGCCACCACTGAGTCCCTACCTGGGTGTCCAGATTCTGCACAGACAGGCCCAGGCGGTCCAGCTTCTGGTTGACAAAGTTCACGATGGCCTAACCAAGGAAGAACAAGGGCCTAGCATGCCGCAGGTGTGGCACAAGGACCCGTGATTCCCTCCTACAGCGCAGGTGGGCAGTGGGTGGGGTGGGCGGCCTGAGAGCTGCTGAGAGGTTTGATCTCTCCTACCTCTTTCACTGCATTCACTTTCTCCGGAGCCAGCTTAAATAATTCATCAAAGATGTCCTCTGCAGACACAGATCCAATAAACACCTCATTACGACGCTATTATCTTTGTGCCAAACAGGGAATATTTTTTTCACAAAAGTTTCTTAGAATAACCAGTCCAGAGGGAGCTGCCGTTTCAGATCATGGTTCTCACATAAAACAGACTGGGATTTGAGTCACAGCTCCCCTGGCCGTGTGCCCCCGGAGGGATTCGCCTTCTTTCTCTGTGCCTCCCTAGCTGGAGTCATTGCAGAGATGGAATTGTTTGATAGCAGATAACACACCTGGCCCAGCAGCATGATGACTGAGCACACAGTAGGACTTCAGTAAACAGCCGCTCTTCCTGCAGCTGATACTTGTTACGGTGTAGGCACAGCTGCATCCCTTCCTCTGCCAGCTGGCCCTCCCTCCTCCCAGGGCCCTGCTCTCCTTCCCAGGGCCAGGGGAGCTGCTACAGATGGGTGATGGGGCCAGCCTGGGGCTGATGCTAGTTCCGTCAGTCTCCTCCCCTGGCTTTTAAATTGGCTGAGTAAGGACTCTTCCCCACTGCCCACCCCCTCACCCCACCCCCAAGGGTTTCTGAACCTGCTGCCTGCAAAAGGCCAGTTCTCTCAGCAACTCAGTCACTCCCTTGGAGTCCGGGAACAGTGGCTCAGGCCCTGGGATCCAGCCTTGGGTGCCCTGTGGCTAATGCCCTTTGTACACAAGCTGGGTTCCTGCTATCTGCAGCTAACACTCCTCCCATGGGGACACTGGTCCTCGGGCACCAAATACACAGACTGGCCGAAATTTGCCTGTGGCTTCTTCTGCTACTCAGGAGCTATGTGACTCTCAGTAAATCACAGCACCTCTCTGTGCTTCAGTTCACTTGTTTGTGAAGGGGGGAAAGTGGCACCAAATAGCATCATGCATGTTAAAAGGCCCCTGAAACCAATTGACAATCAACATGGTGGAAACATCAGTGGTCAGAGAAATTGCATCACTGAAGGAGCCAGGAAATGAGAGGCAAATGTGTCATCAGATGATCCCCTGTTCTGTGTCCTTTCTTCGCCCTGTGACACCCACTTCATGCTGCCCCCTGCTGAAAATACTGCTCCCTGAGCAACCCTTCATGTCCTCAGGCTGCCCCTCCCCCTACCAACACAGATTCCCCAGCCAGCCCTCCTTGCCCCCCACTTCTCCTTTCTCCCAAAACTCAGTCTTCATCAGCCTCCATTCTCAGAGGCTACTTACTTTCCTGGCAGGTTGGTATCTCTATCTCTGCAGGTGAGGTGCTCCTCATAGCATCCCTGCCCACATAGCTATGTGTCTAAGTGGGGAGGGTACAGGGAGAAAAAATAGTGTTGGGATGGACGGATATGGGTGAATAGATAGGTGGCTGGATGTGTAGATAGATGAATGGATGGATGAATAGGTGGGTGGGTGGATTGATGAATAGATGGATGGATAGGTGGGTGGATGGATGAATGGGTGGCTGGACAGATAAATGGAATAGATGGATGGATAGATGATGAATGGGCAGGTGAATAGATGAATGGAGGCATCAATGAATGGATGGAGGGATGGAAAAATGGATGGGTGGGTGGATGGATAGGTGGATGGATGGATAGGTGGGTGACTGGATGAATGAATGATGGATAGGTGGGTGACTGGATAGATGAATGGAGGGATGGATGGATAGATGAATGGATGGATGGGTAGGTGGATGGATGAATGAAGGCATGACTGGATAGATGGAGAGATGGTTAAACAAATGTGTGGGTGGGTGGATGGATAGGTGGGTGACTGGATAGATGGATGGATGGATGGATGGGTGGGTGGGTGGGTGGATGGATGGATGAATGGATGGATGGGTGGGTGGGTGGATGGATGGATGGATGGATGGGTAGGTGGATGGATGAACAGAGGCAGGAATGGATGGGTGGGTGGATGGATAGGTGGATGGATGGATAGGTGGGTGACTGGATGAATGAATGATGGATAGGTGGGTGACTGGATAGATGAATGGATGGATGGGTAGGTGGATGGATGAATGGAGGCATGACTGGATATATGGAGAGATGGATAAACGAATGTGTGGGTGGGTGGGTGGATAGGTGGGTGACTGGATAGATGGATGGATGGATGGATGGATGGATGGATGGATGGATGGATGCGTGGGTGGATGGATGGATGAATGGATGGATGGGTTGGTGGATGGATGGATGGATAGATGGATGGATGGATGGGTAGGTGGATGGATGAACAGAGGCAGGAATGGATAGATGGAGAGATGGATAAATGGATGGGTGGGTGGGTGGATGGATAGATGGGTGACTGGATGGATGAATGGATGGATGGATGGATGGATGGATGAATGGATGGATGGATGGGTGGATTGATGGGTATGTGGATGGATGGAGGCAGGAATGGATAGATGGAGAGATGGATAAATGGATGGGTAGGTAAATGGATAGATGAATGGAAGAATGGGTTGATGGATGCAGAGATGGATAAACTGACGGATGGATAGATAGGTGGGTGGATAGGTGAGTGAGCATATACATGAATGGAAGAAAGGATGGATGGATGGATCAATAGATGGATAAATGGATGGATGGATGGAGAAGAGCTGGCCAGACTACTGATTAAGGAATGGATGAAGAAAGAAGTAACAACTAGATAAATCAACTGATTGGTGAACAGCTCTGTCTGAAGAGCAGAAGCCTCATTACTGCCCACTCACTATTGAGCACTACCCACATGCTGAACGCACTCACAGATGATCTCCTTTAACCCTCACTGCCAGTTTAAGAGGTCAGGGTCAGGGTCATTTTATAGGTGAGGACACTGAGGCATGGACAGGTTAAGATACTTGCCCAAGTTTAAGTGGCTCATGAGTGGGAAAACTGGTGTTTGAACCCAGGCCACTGACTCCAGAACCCACACACTCAATGGACTCCACCTTCACTGCACATGTGAATTATAAATCTCTCTCCCTCCAGAGACAGTATCATGAGAAGGAGCAGCCAGCTCTGTGGATGGACAGACAGAAAGAGGGACAAATGAATAAGAATGAGGGTTGAGATACAAAAGCAGGTGGCAAGGAAATGAGAGAATGCTCAGCAATTAACCAACCCGGCATCAGGACTCATCTGTATTAACACACATCAGATAGGAAAAGATTTCCAGAAATTATGAGAGTACTCACTCGGAGGCTGGTCCTTGTCTGTGCTACAGGAGAAGTTGAAGGGGGTGGAAAAAGCAAACAAATGGTTAAGAAAAACCCTGCAAACCTGCAGTTTCTCAACATGACAAATATCAGTGCTGGCAAGATTGCAAAGAAATTGGCATGTTTGTGGTTATCCTGGCAGCTTTGTAGGTAGGGCAGGTAGCAGAGAGGGTCTTTGTGGGAGGCAAACAGCAGACATAGGTTCATGCCCTTCTCTGAGGCTTCCACACCTAGAAACATTTGAATTTTGCTGGTTTTGTGGTTCCTGTTTTGTTCTAAGGGAGATCCATCACATATGTAAAAAAGTTGTAAGTTTCCAGCGTGTGCTTTCACACATACATACGTGTGTAATCACCACCACTTACATGGTGCAGAACCTCCCAGCACTCCTGCATGTCCCCCCTTCCATCCCTCCCACCCTGCACTGATCACAGCTGTGACTGCTCTTGCCGTCTATTGGTTTTGCCTGTCCTAGAAGATCATGTAACTGTAACCATGTCGCATGTCCTCTTTTGGGTCTGGCCTCTTTCACTCCATTTTTACTGTTTTTGAAAAATTTTTCTTTGACTTTTTTGGTCAAGTTTTTAGCTCCACTTCACCCCATAGAAAAGAAGTTCTGTAGGTCCAGGGCAGCCCAAATCCCTCCAACTAGAGCCCTCCAGAGGAGAGCTTGGCCCCACAGGACAGAGCCCAGCAGCCTATGACAGGGACCCAGGCTAAGCACACAGGGCCAAGGCTGCCAGGAGGGCAGATGCCATGTTCCATCCACACCACTCCAGCCCCAGCCAAGCCTTAAGTGGATGGCAGCCCCCCCGGCCAGCATCTTGGCTGTATCCCTGTGAGAAATCCTGAGCCCAAGCACCCAGCTGAGCTGCTCCTGAGCTCCGGGCCCACAGAAACTGTGAGGAGAATCCACGTTCACTGTCATTTTCAGCTTCAAAGTTTTGGGGGAACTTGTTACTCAGCAATCAGTAACTAATACAGGAAGTCAGAAATCCTGAGCACCACCCACAGCTGCCATGTCACCAGCGAGGCACCCAGCAGCTGTGCACCAGCTGTGCCCTGAGCCTGAGCCAGAGCCAGCGCCACATGGAAGCCAGCAAAGGTGGACCTGCCAGCAGCCTGTGTCCCCTCCAGGGCCCATCCCTCTCCAGGCCCCACCTGTTCTCTGCAGCACGTGGACTGAGTGCTTTGGGCAGCTCTTACGTGCCAACCTTAGACTCCTGCACAGAATTCAGAACCTGTAAAACTGGATGGCATTTGGCCTGACTCCCTCAATTAATGGAGACAAACTGGAACCCAGGGCCACACGGGCATTGAGAACCTGCGGTGCTGGGCCTGGCTCAGAGCACCTGATGGTCCAGCAGGACAGAGCCTGGACCAAGAACAGGAAGCATGCCCTGACTTTGACAGGAGGAGGGAGAGAGCATGGAGGGCATATCGGGTAGGGAGCCAGGGCAAAGGCTCAGGCAGGCCTAAGCAGGCCCAGTCACAGGACCTGAGGGGACAGTAGGTCCCCAGGATGGAGGGGGAAGATGGCAGCTGAGAACGGGGAGGCTATTTAATGCGTTTTTCTAGAAGGACTTGATTCCTCTTAGGCTCCCTCTGCCCAGCTTCCTCCTCCAGCCACAGCTCCATCCAAGCATAACCCAGTCCTGGGTTTGCATCCCAGTTCTGCCCCAGCTGTGAGGCCCTGGACACTCCCTTGCCCTCTCCGAGCTAAAGAAAACTGACCACACCTCACTGGGCTTTGTGAGAGCTAAAGCATTCAGCCCAATGCCTGTGCATAATAGGCCTTTGGTAAAAGTTAGGTAAGGGAGGGGAATCTAACTTCCTGCTGTTAGCCTTCTCCCAACTAAAGGGGAAAGCTGTCTGGACAAGACAGAGCCGGCTGCAGAGTGAACAAGCCAGGCAGCAGCAGGTGGCCATGCCCACAGTGGGTGGGGAGCAGGATGACCACACCCACAGTAGGCAGAGAGCAGGATGATCACACCCCCAGTGGGCAGGGAGTAGGACTGCCAGCCCCAGTGGGAAGCAGGATGGCCATGCCCCCCCCACTGGGTGGGGAAAAGGATGGCCACATCCCAAAACAGGATGCCCGCACACCCCAGTAGGTGAGGAGCAAGACAGCCAGTCCCTGGCCATGCAGGGGCCTCTAAGACTCTTACAGCTTTGCAAAGACAGAGGCACATCCTGCTCACACTAGAGAGACTAAGATTCACTGGGCCCTGGGCCCCAAACGCAGGGGCCCCCACCCCAGAGAACAAAGCAGGGTGGCTGGGAGGGCCCAGGCAGGGACCAGGGTGGAGGCCGGAACAAAAGGGGTCCTGAGTGCTACCGTGGGATGGAGGGGTCAGCGCAGGCTTCTCTGGTCTGAGAGAGCCAGAGTGTGAGGGCCCTTCCCACAAAGGTCAGGGAGATCTGCCCCAGCCCCCACCCTGCCCCATCCACTGCTGAGCCCCAACCCCAGCCATGCGCCCTTGTCCTTCCCTCACCTGCATTCAGTGAGCTGCTCCATCGACTTCTCTGACTTCAGACCACTCTTGGTGCTCTAGGAAACATAAGGAGGGAAGAAATTAAATAATCCAGAAAACTCGGGCCCAGAGCAGTCCCAGGGACCCATTTGCTCTGCCTCATCCCCTCCTCAGGATGGTCTCCTGACTTAATTGCTTTTCCTCCCCAGGAGTCCTGAGGTTGGGGCTGTGTCTGCCTCACAAAGCCACACAACTGCTTGGTGGGGAATTATAATCAATAGTTTTAAAACCAGTAGAAGGCTGGGTGCAGTGGCTCATGCCTGTAATCCCAGCACTTTGGGAGACTAGGCAGGTGGATCACTTGAGCTCAGGAGTTTGAGACCAGCCTGGGCAACATGGTGAAACCCCATCTCTACAAAAAATGCAAAAAATTAACCAGGTGCAGTGGCTCACACATGTAGTCCCAGCTATTTGGGAGGTTGAAGTGGGAGGATCACTTGAGCCAGGGAGGCGGAGGTTGCAGCGAGCTGAGATTGTGCCACTGTACTCCAGCCTAGGCAATACAGCAAGACCCCATCTGGAAAAAAACAACAAAAAAAAAGTAGAAATGACTTTGACTGGGTTTGGCCAAACTTGGCTTATTCTCTTGGGGACAGTCAGAGATACACCCTCAGACAGGAAGCCCCTATGCACGAGGAACCCGAGGCTGGGGTGAGACAGAGGGTCAGAGGAAGGAAAGAGCCGGTGTGACCCCCTACTGTGATGCTCAGAGTCTGTCTGGAGAGAGAAGCCGTGGATTCCCGGGTATTAACTGCAGCTCAGGCAGGCCACATGCTAGACAGAGTATCTGGGGCAGGGAAATCTGGAAAGGCTTCCTGAAAGAGGAGAACCGGCACTGTCACAGCTGCCAGTTCTCTAACAAGAGATAGTACCCTGTGGTGAGAGCAGTGGTTTTGCCTCAGGGGTGTGATGGCTCCCTCGTGGTGGCCATGAACAGACGGCCACATATGGCTAAGGGATATGGCCTGACAGCCGCTGGCCCTAACCTCTGCCAGCTAGATGCCCTCTGCTGAGGTCAAGAGAAGCTGGCCAGCCATGGACCTCCTCATGCCCCCATATCTCTGCCAGCCCCAGTAGACTCTTACCAGCCCATCCCCAGCTCCACACAGCACCCTTGGCTGTGCTGGCAGGATTCTATTTCTCAGGGTTCCCTGAAACTCACCCTGGGTCAGCCCACCCCAGCCAGCACCATCCATTCAGGGCACAGCAATGTGGACCCAAGACGCTCAGCTTCTGCTTACAAATCCCTGGGTGCCCAGGCTGCTACCTCAATGGTGATGACCTCCACCTGGACGTTGGTTGGGAGGGACAGGTCGGGCTGGAAGCGCTTGGCCAGGGCCACAAGGAGGTGCAGGGTGGACAGCAGGTCCTTGTTGAAGATGGCTGGAAGGAGAGAAGAGACCGGTCAGGGCCCAGGGGGCCGCCAAAACGTTCAGCTGAATGGAGCCTTCTTCGTCGTCACAACCACCACCTGCAGACCAAGGAGGTCTTTGTCCAGCCTTCTGGAGAGCAGAGATCTAGAGATACATGTTCAGAACCTAAAAAGCTTCACACGTCAGCGGGGCCCGGTGGCTCATGCCTTAATCCCAGCACTTTGGGAGGCTGAGGCGGGTGGATCACGAGGTCACGAGATCGAGACCATCCTGGCTAATATTATGAAACCCCATCTCTACTAAAAACACAAAAATTAGCTGGGGTGGTGACATGTGCCTGTAGTGTCAGCTACTCCGGAGATTGAGGCAGGAGAATTGCTTGAAACTGGGAGGCAGAGGTTGCAGTGAGCAGAGATTGTGCCACTGCATGCCAGCCTGTGTGACAGAACAAATCTCAAAAAAAAAATCATCCCACTTTGCCTCTGTCATCCTACTTCTTAGAACATAGCCCAAGGATTCAGTGTACCTTGTGCAAGGAACTCTAGAAACAAAGAGTGTCACTGTAGACTGTTCACACCTGGAAGCCCCGAGCAACCTACGGTAAGGCCCTGGCTGAACCATCATTAGGTTTCAGCTCAATGGGACTTAATTCAGGGCTGATTTCATCAACATCAATCACTGAATGTGAGACCTTAAAATCAGCGGATGCCAGAGCCTGTGACCCAACAAAACCTGGGTTCGGAGAGTGACTCTGTTCAGCCCTCACCGCCCAGCCTTGGAGAAGCTGCTTAACTTCTTTCAGCCTCGCTGTTCTCATCTGGGATAGGGGGTCGATACAGAGAGTGGAAGGGAAGGAAATCTGTGCCAAACTGTGAACCAGGTGGGGCGCGGAAATCTTGGTGTTTGGCACACTCTTTTGTTTCTTTAATAGAAAGTCTTATTCTTATCGCCCAGGCTGGAGTACAATGGTGAGATCTCGGCTCACTGCAACCTCCGCCTCCTGGGTTCAAGTGATTCTGCTGCCTCAGCCTCCTGAGCACCTGTGCCCGCCACCACACTTGGCTAATTTTCGTATTTTCAATAGAGATGGGGTTTCACCATGGTGACCAGGCTGGTCTCGAACTCCAGACCTCAGGGGATCTACCCACCTTGGCCTCCCAAAATGCTGGGATTACAGGCGTGAGCCACCGTGCCCGGCCAGGCACACTCACTTTTTGTACAAACTGGCCCTGCAGATATTCCAGCACTTGAAGGAAATGGGAGTGTGGATGGGTGGACCGTGGTACTTGGAGCTCAACAGCGGCTGTCATCCTCCACGAGACCTTTCGCTATCCTGGGCTGCTCTTTGCTGCAGTGACAACCTCTGGGGCACAGACACGTCCTGGGCCGTTGGCTGCTCAGCCAGATGCCTGCCTGTGGCTGCCTGAGGCTTCCACCTCCTTCCTAACTCACAGGTTGTGCCCCTGCTGGGAGGAAGATGAGCGCACCTTCCTGGTGGATGAGACGCCTGGAGCAGAAGGACCCCAGCAGCCCCATGCTTCCCCGGGGGTGGCTGGCTGCAGCCCACATACTCTCCACACTCCACTTGGCCTGCCGCTCCTCCAGCTGCAGACTCCGGTTCACGGCCTCCAGCACCACTGTGAGCTTGTGCCTCTGGCTCGCGGCTGTCAGGGCGATGTCCTCTGCTTCCAGCTTGAGCGCTGCCAGCTTCTCTGGAGGCAGGAGAGGGTGGTGAGGGCCCTTGGCCGGGGGCAACCCAGAGAGCACCTTGGGGCCCCTCCAGGAGGCTGAACCTGCCTGGTGCTTCAGAGAACATGGGTCTGGAGAGGCCGGGAGGAGGCTCTGAGCATGAACACCCCCTGCAAAGCCCCTTGGAGCTTTCCAGACTGAGGAGGAACACAGTGTTGAGGCCTGGGCCACACCCACAGCCTCAACCCGCTGTGCTGCCCAGCTCCCAGGAGACCCTCATCCACACAGAACAGGATTGGTGGGGCACGCAGGCCACGTGATGTGAGCAAGTCTCAGCCCCCTGAGCTGACTGAGAGAGCCCACCTCACCTTGATCACCCTGTGCCTGCAGCCCCTGGACTCCTGCACAGCTGTTTCACTGCGTCTCCGCAGGGCAGTGCGGGCTAGTGGCTACAGTCCACACTCCTGGTTTTCTATCCTGACTCCTCTGCTTCCCTAACTGTGAGAACTTGAACAAATTATGAGGACTTTCAGAGGCTTATCTCCTTATCGGTGAAATGGGATAGTAACAGCACCGGCTGTTCTCAGGATGAGCTGCACCTGCTACATGGGCCGTGCCCGGAAGTGCGAGCCACAGGCATGGGATGGTATAGCCCATCTGCAAAGAGCTCAGCAAACACTTCGGAGGCTGCCCCCAGGCTAAGTGCCCAGGACACGGCATCAGGCCTATCCATGGCCTCCAAGACCACAGTTTTGTGCAAAAGACATGTGTAGACCAACATGGCCACACAAGAGGAAAGGGACAGGGTGACTCTGGGGCTTGTGGGGGACACTCGCCTGGTGCCAGGAGGGGGCCCTGAGCATGAACACCCACTGCAAAACCCCTTGGAACTTTCCAGACTGAGGAGGAACATGGCAGCAGGAGCCTAGCCCTGCCCCCAGCCCCCCAAGACCGCCCGTTTTCTCTCCAGCAGCCTGGGGCAGCTAGAGGGCAGGGAGCATGGGTTCTTTTGTTACCTCCCAGCACCTGAAAACAGCAGGTACTCAGTAAGTGTTGGAGAGGCAGTGTGGTGTGGTGGAAGGAGCCCAGGTATCAGAGCCCCAGCCTGAGCCCCAGCTCGGCCCCCTCACTCATGGGCCACACATAGCGCCCCATCTCCCCAGCCCAGGCCCATCTAGAAAGTGAGACAGGTGTCCCTAAACCCCGGACTATTGTGGGGACTGAGGGAGGGAGCCCGCCTGTGGGGCCGAGGCCCAGGCAACCCCAGAAACAGCCACTTACGGAACAAGTGGTGCAGGATGAGCCCGTCGAACATGTCCTCCTCCAGGCTGCGGACCACGATGTGTTCTGGGAGAAGAGTGGCATTGATCCACTCTATCAGCACCTGCAGACCCCAAAGGGACGACTTTTGGCAGAGGTGGGAACTCCTCACCTGGCCCCCTACCTGGCTCAGAATGCCTGTCTCTCACCTGCCAACTCCTACCCATCCTTCAAGGCCTGCTCAAATGTCACCTCCACTCGGAAGCCCTCCTTGATCTCCCAGGATGAGTTGGGAGCCTGCTCTGGGCTCCTACTGACTCCCTGCTCCTCTCCGTCACAAACCTGAGCAGTGTGGGGCTGTCATTACCATGCGTGAGGTTTTAGTACCAGGAAGTGGGGCACTACCATAGCAAATACCTAAAATGGGGAGATAGCTTAAAGAAGGAAAAGAATTAGACAATGAACACTTGATAGAAAAAGCCTAGATTGCCCTGAGAGGTGGTCAGTAGACATATGGCCGTTAAAGGTGCTCCTGGTGAGGTCCCAGGAGGAAACGAGGGACACGACATTGGGCGTGAAGATGGAGGTGGAGATTGGAGCGACGCAGCCTTGGGTCTGGGAGCCCAGGAGGCTGCAGCCATCAGAGCTGGGGGAGAGGAGGGGACACAGGCCCCCTGAGAGCCTCCAGCAGGAGCCAATCCTGACAACACCTTGGCTGAGGATCTCTGACCTCCAGCACTGTAACACAACACATTTCTGTGCTTTAAGCCATGCAGTCTGCGGCCACAAGTTACAGTAGCCCTAGGAAGCTAATGCGGGGGTGCTGGTGCCCGGCCCATGCCTTGACTGGAGCCCACTGGCCCAGCTCCCACCTGTAGCTCTGCTGGAAGCTGTCCCCATCTCCTTGTGCTCAAAAGGTCACAGTGCCAGTGAATCAATGTCAAGGCCCAGCCCTTTCTCAGGGAGCAGCTGTTCACTAAAGGTTGTCAGAAGGTGGCTTATAAATACTCCAGCTCCGTCACCCCTCGGGCAGGAATGCTCTGAGCCTGCTCTATGCTGGCTCCAGGGTACCCAGCAGGCTTGAGCCCCCAGAACCATAACCAGCTCCATTGCTAACCATGTGTTGGCCCCTTTCCTCCCATGACCCCTGGGACAACCTCCCAACTCAACTACTGGCACCCAAATCCTTGTCTCAGGATCAGCCTCTAGAGAAGCCGAGCTGGGATGATGTGTCAGCATCCCCCCAGGTCTTCCAAGCAGGACCACGGATGGCTCTTCTCTGTGTCCCTAGTGCCAGGTACAGGGCTACGCCAGGTGTGCTGGCCAAAGGTGGGAAAGGCAATGGAGGGAGTGAGGGAATAGGAAGGAGGATGGAAAATGGTCCACAAAGCCTCTGGATATGGAAGATGGATAGCCCAGGAGGCCTCCTTGGAGGAGGCAACAGAGAGGCCATGTGAAGACTGGAGACAGAGGCTGAGGGAAACAGAGGCCTGGAGCCCACCTGTGCCTAGCTGGTCCAGTGGCCATAGCAGCAGATCCACGACCAAGGAGAGAACTGAGCATAGGTGCTGCAGGCCCACCGCCACTGTCCCACCGCCACTGTCTCACTGCCACTGCCCCACCAGTTCTCCTTCACCTTGGGCAGCCAAGCTGGGAAGGAGCGCAGGCTTAGGGGCCAGCAGCTCATGTCAAACCCCAACTCCGTTACAGGCACCTACGTGCCCCTGACAGATCAGGTCACCTCTCTAAGCCTCACTATCTGTCCCCTCCCTGGGATGTTGGGAATAATAGATTGGCCTCAAATCCCATGAGGTTGCTGGGATGGTATATATGCAGGCACACAGTTGGTGCTCAATACATGTTTTTACATGCAGGTTCTGTGGGTAACTTGCTCCTTGGGGCCTTCGGGGGTCACCACCCCTCAGCCAGAATAGGGATATCCCGCTGTCCCTGCCCTGTGGAGGCTGCTGCCTGCTCTGCCCAGAGTGTGACCAGGGCCGTCAGGGCTGTGGAGGCTGCTGTACCTTTTGCAGTGCTTCAAATCTGGGGTCCTTCCGGGAAGTGGGCGGCAGGTATTTCTTCTTTCCTCCTAGAAGCAGAGTGGGTATGACGAGCACGTGGGGACCCTGTGGGGCGCTTGGCCACACTCCCCTGCAGGTCACCCACAGAGCGCAGCACCTCAGCCCCGGGGCACTGGTCCTGCCACTTCCACCCCGGCGTGCCTTCCCTCACTTCCCTCACCTCCCTCACCAGCACCAGCTCATCCACAGACACTGCAGCATTTATATTTTGAGACATAAACTCGGAAAGGATTTCTTGATTGTTGGAAATTCAAAGTTAACTGGGCATCCTGTGTTTTATCTGGCAACCCTCCGTATTTACATAAAGTGAAACCCTAGCCAGAGAGGGGAGGTGGTGCCCAGGCTCACCAGGCTCTAACGGGCTAAGGTGGGGCTTAGCTCAGGTCTCCCAGGCCCCTCCATGGCACCCCTTGTAGTCGGACTTCCCGGGGCGGCCCTCAGAGGCCCAGCAGCTCCCCTTCTCCAAGGCTGATGCCAGCAGCTGCCCACATTTTAGACTCACAGAACCCACAAAATGTCAGGGCTGAGAAGGACCTCTGAGATCAGCGAGTCCCAATGTACATGGGGGGAAACAGTCAGCAGTGGGGACTGTGTTGCCGAAATTCACAAAACGCGTTGTCTCTTATGTGACCCCAATAAAGGCTTTTCCTGGACATGCTGAAAACCTTAGAGTGCTACCCAGCCCCGTGTCTTCTGATGAAAGAGAAGGCAACAGCATCATGGGCTGAGGTGCCCAGCAAAGGGCAGGCTCTCAGCAAGTGCTTGGGCAAGTGAGCGGGCGAATGAATGAATGAATGAACATGGTACTGCTCCTTCCTGGAGCAGACTTCTTGTGACTTGAGTCATCCAATGTCCCAGCTCTGCTTGCCAGAACTTTAAGTATCTTAAATCAATTGTAACTATTATTAGTTATCAATTGTAATAATAATAATTATTATTGTAGTAACTAAGTTCTACCATCCTAACTCAGCTGCTTTCCTCAGGACACTTTCAATCTTCAGTGTTTTAAACACACAATACCAGACGGTGAAGAAGTCAGCCAGGCAACTCTGGACCAAGCCTGTCCCCTCTGGGGTCTGACCTGCCACTCCGCGGACCCCAGCTCCGTTAGCGCTGGAGTTCTCATGCCATAACACCTACTTAAAAGGCGGCATTCAGGGCTGGGTGCGGTGGCTCACGCCTGGAATCCCAGCCCTTTTGGGAGACCGAGGCGGGTGGATCCCTTGAGATCAGGAGTTTGAGACCAGCCTGGCCAACATGATGAAACCCTGTCTCTAGTAAAAATACAAAAATTAGCTGGGTGTGGTGGCGCATGCCTGTACTACCAGCTACTCGGGAGGCTGAGGCAGGAGAATGGCTTGAACCTGGGAGGTGGAGGCTGCAGTGAGCCCAGATCACAGCACTGCACTCCAGCCTATGCAACACAGTGAGATTCCTATCTCAAGAAAAATAAATAAATAAAAATAAAAAGGTGGTATTCACAGGAGCTGGAGAAAGCCCCATTCCGCTCCTTTCCCTTAAATTATTCACGTTCTCTTTGTCAGCATGCTTAAGTTTTCTTTCTTTTTTTTTTTTTTTTTTTCTGAGATGGAGTTTTGCTCTTGTTGCCAGGCTGGTGTACAGCGGCGTGATCTCAGCTCACCACAACCTCGGCCTCCCGGGTTCAAGCGATTCTCCTGCCTCAACCTCCCGAGTAGCTGAGATCACAGGCATGCACCACAATGACCAGCTAATTTTTTGTATTTTTAGTAGAGACAGGAGTTTCACCATGTTGGCCAGGCTGATCTTGAACTCCTGACCTCAGGTGATCTGCCTGCCTTGGCCTCCCAAAGTGCTGGGATTACAGGGGTGAGCCACCACACCTGTCTGCTTATGTTTTCCTGGTTACATAAATTCCAATGAGTTCACCTAAAGCCTTCCCCACCGGGACATCTGGCTGTTTCCTGGCATGCTGCTGTTGGTCTGTTTCTTTCAAAGAACACAGGGACTGTGACAGCTCTGGGACCTGCCCCTGCCCTTCTTTTGAGCCATCTCCTAGGAAGGAGGTTTCAGGGACTATGGTTGCCAGCTCCTGAAAGGGCTCACAACAGAGAGCTTTGTTGAAAGGGTTACCCACACTCATTGAATTGCTCCATCCTATGCTCACCCCACTTTTGAAAGAGACCCACATGTGTGAGGGAAGCACATCAGGAGCCCCACACCCTGCAAAGCATCACTACATGGTAGGCATCGCTGCGTGGTGGGCATTGCTGCGTGGTGGGCATCGCTGCGTGGTGGGCATCACTGCAAGGTGGTCATGGAACTTCAGTTCTGGGAACCTCCTTGGGCTCAGAACCCCACTCCACCACTTGCTAAGAGTTTCCTGCTACTGTGGCATGTCACCCCTTATATTTCAGTTTCCTCATCTGTATAAAGCAGGCACTGATGCCCACACTTGGGAATAAATGAGTTGCTATAGGTAAGAGGTGTTGGTGGGTAGGGGCATAAAGAAGGCTCACAGGACAGGAGCAATCGGTATTCACCATTGTAATCTGCACCATCTCCCACCTGGAGAGAGGAGTTTCTAGTTCCTCAGAAGGTTCCAGGAGGAGGAGTTGGGTTGAGCATAAGGTGGAAGGCAGAGGCAGGGATGGGCAGAATTAGGCGCTCAGCTGACAGCTGGAAAGGCACTGTACATCCCAGGCATGGCCAGGCTCACTCTTTTGCCATGCAGACCCTCACCCTCTGCCCTCAGACCCTTGCTGGCACACACCTTGTGGGAGCTTCTCTGCTGGGGGCTCCACCCCCTTGGGAAGCTGCAGCAGGTCATACAAGGACTCCAGCTCCATCGCCTGCCTCCAAGCCTGTACGGAGGATGTGGGAGAGGGCGTCATGGTCCGAGAAGCCCCAAACTCATGTCCTCTAAACCTAGAGGCACAGAAGGAGGGTGGAAGCCTGGCTCCGGGGACATGTCACTGCACCAGCCTAGGCAGGGGTACAGGCCCCATGAGAAAGAGGCCTTGAGCCAACCCTCACTGGGTGACAGGCTAGAAAAAGGCACAGAGGCTGAGGACACAGCTGAGCAAATGCTTGGTGGGGACGTGGTCCTTCCTCAGGCAGGTGCAGAGCAGCCACCCATTGCTGTCCTGCAGTCCCCACCCTCCTATCCATGCATCCCCACCCTACCCTGACATCAGGACAAAGTGGGTACAGCTCACTCCTCAGAGCTTGTCCGGATGAGCTCAAGGGGAACCTTCCCGGCCGGCCTGTGTGGTGCTGGCTGCAGTGAACACGTGGAAGGTGACATCTCCCATCCCATAAACCGGAAGGCTCAGGGTTGACAGAGGCCCTGTTCATCTTCCTCATCCTCATTACATGCAGAAGGCTGGGCTCACCACGTGCCGAGACAGGGGCAGATCCAGAGGCCACCCCAGACTCCTTCCTGTTCCCCTAGCCCACTTCCTCTCCCACGGAGGCTTCGCCGGCTCTGCTGGCGGCTTTTGGCCTCCTTCTTCCTCTCTCTTCAGCCCCCGGTCTCCTCGGTGTTTTCAAACTCAATCAGACATGGGGGGCGGGTCACATAACAGATGTTGGTGGCCAGAGCAGGGAGCCCCCAGAGCTGTGGGAGATGGAGGCATTTGCTCGGCCCAGCCACCTGTGTCAGACCGGCAGCCAGCCTGGGGCAGGGGATGCCAGACTCCATCCTGGCCTGCAGCAAGGAGGTGACGGGGAACACAGACGGTAGAACTGACTCCCAGTCCCTTAATCCCCAAGCTGAGGTCCAGGGCCAGAGAAGATGAAAGCACCTGGCCTAGGCATCAGGAAGCCCGGGTCACAGGCCAGCTCCTCCTCACTCAGGCTGTGTGACCTTGGGCAAACCCCCTGCCCTCTCTGGTCCTGATGCGTGCTTAGAAGGAGGGCCTGGACTTGATGCTGCCCAAAGGCATCAGCAGCCTGGGCAAGCCCCTTCCTGACCCTGGGGCCTCAGTTTCTTCAGCTGGAGACAGAGGGGCTGAAGTTCAGGAGCGACAGCTCCTCCGTAGAACAGGAAGGGAGGAAGCTGACCAACCTCTGAGTAGGGGCAGCAGAGGTGCTGTGGGGACTCAAGGTCTCACTTTGCGACACCCTTCCCCAGGCGGCCTCTGCTGGGCCTGCCCTCTGGGATCCTTCCCAGGGGGTGTCTGGGCCCCTCCCTCCGTTCCCCCCAGCACTTAAGGAAGGTGGCCCCGATGCCAGAACTCACCCGGCTGCTTTCTCCACACTGGAAAACCAAGGCCTACTGGGCACAAGGGGTGGTCCCTGGGTTCCGAATGAAAGCAGGTTCCGGGTTCTTCCGGGGGCTTCGGGGGCCAGGCCAGAGGTAGGAGCTCGGCCGCGCACTTCCTCCAGGGCCCGATCAGCCGGCAGGAGCTTCCTCTCTGTGGCAGGTCCGGAGGTGGAGGATGATGTGAACGCGAAGCTGCCCCAGCCGGACAGACAGCTCTGCCCAGAGCTCCAACGCCCGCCTCCTGCCCGGCCCCGGTCCCACAGGCCACTTCAGTTCAATGCTTCCACATCTCTCCCTCTCCTGGTCTTCCCCAACCACACTAGTTTCCACGCAGGCTTTTCACCTCCACGATGGCAGCTGCTTCGGCCAGAGGCTGGGGTTGATCCCCACAACCCACCACCAGCAGCAGCACCCTGTCAGCCCAGCCTCCATACTCCAGCCCATGCCACCATCCTCCCACCTGCACCCCCTGCCCCAGGCCAGGCCCCTTCCTCTCCCGGGACTGAGAGGGAGCCTCCTACCTGGACTCTGAGCTGCAGCGTTACTGGCACCCCCTGCCCGCCCGAGCTGGGGTTCCCACAGTCAGAGGAGTCACTTCCTATCCCCACTCACTCAAACCACCAATGCACCAACGGCACCCAATAGCTCTTAAAATAACACCCAGACTGTGCAGCCCCGCCCATGAGCCCCAGCATGGGTCACCTGCCAACTGTACCTGCATCCTCATCCCCTAACCTCTCTCCCCGCCACAGGGACCACCTGCCTTCCTGCCTCAGCCTCTTCACATATCCTGTTCCCTCCACCTAGGGGCCCTGCCCAGTTTCAACTTCCCTAATTGCCTTACCTGAAGTAGGTCCTCCCTGAAATTCTTTTTTTTTTTTTTTTTTGAGACAGAGTTTTGCTCTTGTTGCCCAGGCTGGAGTACAATGGCACAATCTCAACTTACTACAACCTCCACCTCCTGCGTTCAAGCGATTCTCCTGCCTCAGCCTCCCGAGGAGCTGGGATTACATGTGTGTGCCACCACACCTGGCTAATTTTGTATTTTTAGTAGAGATGGGGGTTTCTCCATGTTGGTCAGGCTGGTCTTGAACTCCTGACCTCAGGTGATCCACCCACCTCAGCCTCCCAAAGTGCTGGCCCTCTCTATGATTTTTTACCACAGCCCCTGGAGGTTTCCTTCATGGCACTTAAACCCATGGCATTGTTGGCTCAGCCGGTCAGCCATCTGGTGTGTGACGCCTGCCTCACCACCAGACCTGTGCTCCTCAGGAGCAAAAACTCTGATTTGCCTCTTCCGATCACGGTTATATACCTGCGTCTAGAACGATGCCTGGCACAACGTGGGCTGGGTGAATAAATATTGATGGTTGTTGTTGCCAAGGGGATCAGGAAGGCTTTCCAGAGGAGAATGGGGCCTTGACGGCTGCATAGGAGTTTGCAGTGGAAGAAGAAGGGGTGAGAACATGGCAGGTGGAGGGGACAGTGTATGCAAAGGCATGGCAGAGTTTGAGGAGAGATTTCAGCACAGTAGATAGTCAGAGAAACACTTCAGACCCCAGCTGGTCTCTTGAGCTGGAATCTTCATCATCTGGGCTGAAATGGTGAGTTTCCATAGCAACAGGTAATGGGGAAGCTATGCACCCCTTCTGACTGGTTAGACAGAAAGTGGCCAGATCAGGTGGGAAGCAGGAGGCAGGGGTGCGTGAGAGCAGGAAAGTAGGGTGTTTGTAAAAAGTTACTATAAAAATGACAAAATGTCGTACTGGTATTGTTGCTCATATTTACGGAGTCATTGGTGATGAAACAAATATCATTTTAAGGGCCTTCATTTTACTGGAAACCCCCATGAGGTAGGTACAATCATAACCTCCATATCACAGAGGAAGAAGCTGAGATGCACGATTCCGTCTCTGCCATTCTGATATACCTGTGCCTGACTGGGGCTCGTGACAGGCAGGGAGAGAAGCGACCATCTTTTGCTGGAGTGTGTGTAGCAGTCTCAGCCCAGCTCTGGACCTGGTGGTTCTGGTGGTGGCTTCTCACCCCGGATCACAGCCACGTAGGTGTAGCAGTCACAGTCCTAGCAGCAAAGGGACAGCATGTTCCCATGTGCTGACTAAAGGCTGTTTGATAAAGGGACAGCTGGGGCAGGGTTAAAGGAACCCAGGAGAGATGGTGCTGCACCCTGGCTAGCAACATGGGAGAGCTCTTCTTCAAACCTACAGGGCAAAGGAGGGAGTGGATGCTGGAGCCCAGGAACAGAATCACCAAAGCTCTAAGAGGGGCTCAGGATAGGAGCTATGGCCTTTGGTAGAGGGACACAGCCAGCTCATGGTGACCCTGCAGAAGGGCACTGCTGGAGGAATACGTGCCCAGACCTCTCTGTCTTTTCCCTCCTGCCAGGGCCTCCCCCAGCCACATCCAGACAGAAGCCAGAGGTAAGAAGTGCCCTGCTGCAGTCCACAGACATCAGGAGAGAAAATGGCGGGGAGGGGATTTGCAGAGGTGAACCTAAAGCATTCAACCCGAAACCATGCTTCTAGGGCCAGCCTCACATGGCAGCTTCCTTCAGGAGCCAGCTCTGCAGTATTCTTCCAAGAGTCCGTGCTGGAGGCACTGCCTCCAGCCTTCCAATGGCTTGGGAATCGCACAGTTTCCTGTATTAGATTCTTTTCTCCTTCAAACAACTGAAGAGGCTCTAGTCGTCGGCAACTGAATCCCAGTTAACCTCGGATTTGTTACCAGAAACAACTGCAGGCAGTATGTCCTCCAGGACGGGAACTGGGATTGGTTACTTGTTCTGGTTTATTTAAAGGCAGTGGGGACCTAGTAACTGTTAGAGAATGGAGTTCTAACAGCTCATAGTATGTGATGGCAAGATAATTACCTGTCAGAACTAAGTACTATTAAATTCTAGCTCTGGCGGAGCTGTGGCTTCCATAGGCAATGCAAGCACAGGTTATCTAAGGACTGTGGGGTGAGCTTGTTCATCACACCAAAGAGTTTAAGGCAAGAAAAGAACAGTCCCAGGGCTTTACCTTCTCAGCCCAAGGTATGTTCAGAGTACAGGGAGTTCTCTGATAGCCCTCAAAGCCTCTCTTATCTCTTGGGTCTGCTGTAGGTAAAAATCAGATGCAGAATCTAATCCTGTATGGTGTGGAGTTACAACGGATAACTAAATCCACAACTCACCAAGCAATCTGTGTAGAGCATTGTTTAGAGGAGGAGAGGGACTCTAAGAAGTGGAAGAGTAACACAGAGACAAGTCCAAGCACCCCCAAACCCCAATTAAGAAAAAGGCTGGGCGGGTGCATTGGCTCATGCCTGTAATCCCTGCACTTTGGGAGGCCAAGGCGGTTGGATCAGGAGGTCAGGAGATCAAGACTATCCTGGCCAACATGGTGGGACCAACATGGTGGAAACCCATCTCTACTAAAAATACAAAAATTAGCTGGCACAGTGGCGGGCTCCTGTAATCCCAGCTACTCGGCGGGCTGAGGCAGGAGAATTGCTGGAACCCAGGAGGTGGAGGTTGCAGTGAGCCAAGATCACACCACTGCACTCCAGCCTGGGCCACACAGTGAGACTTCATTACAAAAAAAAAAAAAAAAACGGGCACAGATAGAAGAGAATTATTCCAGCCTTTTTTTTTTAGAGACACAGTCTAAAATATACTATACCTATGTAAATATACCTAACACTACTGAACTGTACACTTAAAAATAGTTAACAAAGTAAATTTTATGTGTATTTTAACCACAACTAAGAATTTTAAAAATTAATAAAATAAAAATAAACACATTGCAAGGATCACATCACTTTAGGGATCATATCTCTAAATACTTCAGAATGTTTCTTCTAAAAACAAATACATTCTCCTGCAATAACTAGTACCATTATGACACCTAAGAAAATTAGCATGGATAGAAGGTTTTCTAATATTCCATCCACATTCAGATTTTGCCAAGGCTTCAAAAAGTATCTTTTACAGCTGCTTTTTTTTTTTACTCCAAGATCCATTGAGGTATCACCTATCACATGTGATTGCATTTGGTTTTCATGTCTCTTTAGAGCCCTTTAATCTAGAACAATCTTGCCTGACATGAACATTTTTATAAGCATCCAGGTCAGTTGTCCTGTAGAATCTATCCCTTCTGTCATTTCCTGGTCTGCTTCTGTGGACCGATTTTTCTCTTGATTGTGGGTCACATTTTCCTGCTTCTTTATATGCATAAGAAGTTTTTGTTGAATGCTAGACATAAAAATTATGTCTAAAATTAATTTTTTATGTTGTTGGATCCTGAATTTTGTTGCATTTCTTTAAGAGGTGTTGGAATTTTTCTGGAAGAAATATTCTTTTGGTGTCTGTTTTTAATAAGCTTAACCTCCTCAAGCTCTGACCTTTGGCTCCTCAAATCAGTGAGACCTGGCTTGGTCTGGGTCCCCCTCACTATAGCATAGCCCAGGGATTATGTCCAGGCAGAAACCAAGGCAAGGGAAGGGCTCACCTCACTTGCCACCCTTTTCTTGGGGATCACAGATCTGACTCACCTCTTAACATTTAACTTTCACATAGTTTCGAACGCACAGAAATGCTGCAGGAATAGTGCAAAGAGTTCCTGTATGTATTAGTCCGTTCTCATGCTGCTAAAACAGACATACCCAAGACCAGGTAATTTATAAAGGCAGTTTAATGGACCACAGTTCCACATGGCTGAGGAGGCCTCTCAATCATGGTGGAAGGTGAAGGGGAAGCTAAGTCATGTCCAATGTCCGAAAACTCTTTTCTGTGTTTTGTGGAGGTTTCTAGGTATTCCTGATGGAAAGGAAACTCCAAAAGTGAAAATTTTTTCCTCACATATTGATTAGAACAAAGAATTACATTTTTTAGTGTATTAACTAAGTAAGATGTATTTTTTCAAAATAGAAAGTGTCTCCCTCTGTCACGTAGACTGGAGTGCAGGGGTATGATCACAGCTCACTGCAGCTTCGAACTCCTGGGCTCAAGTGATCCTCCCCCCTCAGCCCCCTGAGTACCTGGGACCATAGGCGTGTGTTCACATGCCCAACTAAGTAACCAACATCACATCATAAGAAATAAGACCAATCAACATGACACGTCTTCTGGCAATGATGGGCTGAGAAGGACACATCACTTCTGCCAAAAATGCGTGACCTGAATCTAATCACGAGGAAAATATTAGACCCATCCAAGCTCTAGGACATTCTGGAACATAACCGGCTTGTATTCTCCAAAGAGTTAAGACTACGAGACATAAGGAAAGACTGAGGGCCACTCCAGACTACAGGAGGCTGGAGAGATAGGACGAACAGGTGCCCGCCACCACATCCAGCGAATTTTTGTATTTTTAGTAGAGATGGGGTTTCACCATGTTGGCCGGGCTGGTCTTAAACTCTTGATTACCTCAGGTGATCTGCCTGCCTCAGCTTCCCAAAGTGGTGGGCCACTGCACCCGGACTGCAGTTATATTTGAGAACTACAAGTGAGAAAGATGGGCGAGTCAGGTCAGTCTAAGAGCATCTTCAGAACCGTCTTATATCACCAACATTTTTCTTTTTTGTTTTTGAGGCAGAGTCTCTTTCTGTTGCCCAGGCTGGAGTGCAGTGGTGTGATCTGGGCTCACTGCAACCTCCACATCCCAGCTTTAAGCAATTTTCATGCCTTAGACTCCCCAGTGGCTGGAATTACAGATGTATGCCACCATGGCAGCTAATTTTTTTTTTTTTTTTTGTGGAGACAGTGTTTCACCATGTTGGCCCGGCTGGTCTCGAACTCCTGGCCTCAAGTAATCCACCCACCTTGGCCTCCCAAAGTGCAGGGATTAAAGGCATAAGCCAGAGCCACTACAGCCCAAAACCAATTTTTACAAAAGATGAAGGATTAAAGCCACCTGGATTAGCCCCTACTCCAGTCCACCTGAAGCACCCAGGTCCTGTTCCCTCTCGAAGACTGGCTTCCACCCAACCCTCTCCAGGCCTCAGCTGTCCCTCACCAGTCAGGTCTGACCACTCCCTGCCCCACCCTGCACCCCTCCTTTCTTGTAATTCAGCCTGGGAGTTACCTATCACTCCACTGGCTAAGGGCAGTGGATATTCTTGCTGGCTACTTGCCCCAGCCTTGGACAAACAAGACCCTTGGTAAATGACTGCTCAACAGCACCAGTCAGAAGATCCCCAGAAGGTTCTGCACCATTGCTGGCCTCAAAGACTCAGCATCTCAGCGAACAATGTTTTATCCTTATCCATAGGAACAGCTGAGTCCTATCCAATAAAAGCACAGGTGAAGACAGGCCGGCTCAAGGACATGGTACCCTACGGTAGGGCTTCCCAACCTCTGCACACTGCACACGGGGCCTAGATGAGTCTTTGTTGGGGAGAAGGGAGCCTGTCCCGTGCGCTGCAGGATGTTAAGTGGTAACGGGGCTCCACCAGCTACCCGCCCAAAATGCCTCCTCCTAAGTTGTGACAACCCAAACTGTCTCCACACATTGCCAAAGATCCCCCGAGGGGCAGCACCTCCCTTCCCACTGAGGACGGCTGACTTTGAAGGAAGGAGGTTGAACTTGTCACCCAGAACCTTGAGCTGGAAAGTGTTGGTGGCTTAGCTCCCTGCGGTCATGGTCACAGTGACAAAGCTGGACGCAAACCCAGGCACTTCTCCAAGCGCAGATTCCTTCCATCCACAGTTTTAAATTTATAGTTCATTATTTTTTAATAGCATGGTTGCCTTTTTCTCCAGGCTAGCTATCCTGGAATAGTCGCAATTTTATCGTCATTTCGTAAAGTTTGATGCTTCTGAAGGCTACCATGACCTGTGCCAAGAAGGGTTTATGGCAGGGCCAGCACAGAGGGCAGGCCACCATCTCTGTCACACAGGGGTCCCTTGACCTGCAGAGTCAAGAACGTCTACTTGTCAGCATGCAAGGCCCCATGACGTCACATGATGAAGAGTAAGGAGACACTCTCCACGTGTTGATGCAGCCTGTGCCCCTAGCCACTAGCTCTGTGTTCATATGGTCTGGACCCAGGCAGAGAGGCAGAGGAGCCTTTATTACTGATCTGCAGCTGTGACTCTGTTGCCCTCTTCTCCCTGTGGTCCCTGAGGAAGCTTGGGTTCCCAAAGTCCCATCCCCCACAGGGGGCGTGACTGGCTCTTCCCTGAGCTCCTGTCCACCTGGAAGTCCCCGGGAAGCAGGGCTGGGTGGAGTCACCAGGCCCTGGCACCTGTTCCTTGGGTGGCATCATCCGCAACCACTAAATGCATGAAAGATAAAAACAGAAGCCAGACAAAGACGGCGGACAGGCCCATGCTCGCGAGCTCTTTATTGGAATAAATAACAGCACATTGTGACACCAGGAGGCATTTTCCTAACCACATCTCTGGCTTAGGAAGTGCTTGCTTGGCGTGGCAGTGGGCTCCCGAAAAGCGCTTGCTTCCTGTGGTCAGCCAGGCGGGCCTGACCAACAGCAGGGCCAGGGTTTTCGTGGCTTTTATTTAACATCCAGAAATCCAAAGTAAACACTGCTTAAAACAATGAATAAGACAATAAAATACCGGCACACCCAACGGGGCAAAGGATTTCGTTGCTTTAACATGAAATTGCTCTTTGCCACCTCCAATTAGGACACCGCGGCCCGGCGGGGCTCGGGGCTCTGCGCTTGCATAACAGTGTGTGGAATCAAGGGGGAACTGAAGCTGCGGGAGGCTCCCCGAGCTGGTGTGGGTTGAGAGGCACATCCAGAGGAGGAGAATCAGCAAATGCCTTCCCGCCCTTGTCCGAGCGTCCACTCGGCCCCTGCAGACCTGAGACCTCCTTGACATCTGCCCCCACGGGTGGAGATACATGGTTTTGCTTTCACTTAGTTCCTATGGACCAGGGTTCCTCTTCAAAGAACAATTCACTGAAAATGTGGTGCCCAGAGCTTCTCTGAACTAAGCACCAAGAACTGCAGCAGACCAGCGGTCTTACCCCGGCCTCGTGCCCCAGTGACCATTCGTCCCGAGCCCACGGGAATCGAGTTCACCCTGAATCCTGCCTTGGAACCGGCCCCTCGATGCATCTGGCCAGGCCAGGCTGTGAATTCAGATTCAAACTGATGATAGATGGAGAAAAATGAGCAGAGTCAAGCCTAAGGCGGCCTCCCAGGTATGCAAAGGGCACACCTACACCTTGGAACCAGTTTGAAAAGAATTGGGACAAAATATCACACCCAAGCCAGGTGTGGTGGCATCCACCTGAGTCCCGGGAATTTGGGATGCAGAAGCAGGTGGATAACTTGAGCCCAGGAGTTCAAGGCTGCCGTGTGCCACGTGTGTCTGTGAATGACAACTGCACTCCAGCCTGCGCATGCAGCAAGACCTTATCTCCTTCCTTTATCCTTCCTGCCCTCCCTCCCTCCCTCCCTTCTTCCCTCCTTCCTTCCTTCTTTCCTTCGGAGACAGTCTCACTCTATCACCCAGGCTGGAGGGCACTAACACAATCTCGGCTCACTGCAACTTCCACCTCCCAGGTTCAAGTGATTCTCCTGCCTCAGCCTCCTGTGTAGCTGGGATTACAGGCATGTGCCACACCCCTGGCTAATTTTTGTTTTAGTAGAGATGGAGTTTCAACATGTTGGCCACGCTGGTATGGAATTTCTGACCCCAAGTGATCCATCTGCCTTAGCCTCCCAAAGTCCTGGGATTACAGGCATGAGCCACCACGCCTAGCCAAGCTCTGTTCTCTTCAAATGCCGACCCCCGGGAAGGCACAGCGCCCTCTCCAGGACTGTGAGCAGGCCAGGACAGGGCAGGGCTGCTCCATGAGCTCCAGGGGCCACGGTCCTGTGCGTGTCACAGAGGCAGCACAGAACGTTCCGGCACCAGGTTTTTTGTCAGTGTGGCTCTTTAATGTCACTGCATCCCGCAGGAGCCACTGTAATGCCGTTTTAATTATTTCTTTCCCCTGCTGGGAAGCCACCTCATCAAAATGGCTCTTCTGAACCCATCCCCAGCCTAGCAACAGCCGGAACTGAGGGGAATATTAAACTGTTTTCTAAAACTTCCGTGTTGGCGTTTGATTTCATATTAAAACTTACTCAACAGCTCTGATCTGCAGCAGGAAGACAAAAAGCTAGAGCAATCAGAAAGGCCCAGCTCGTTGCGGAGGATGCTGTGAGGAGCCAAGGCAGGGCCGCTTTGCAGCAGGTGCACCCCAGGGGGTCGGTGGGTCATAGCTCTGGGAAGGCACTGGGGACGGGGCATGGTGGGGGCACCACAGCGAGGGACCTACTGTGACCAGAGGCTGGCCCAGAAAGCATGGCCGATGGGATCGCCAATTCTGGGGAGCTGAAGCCTCCTCCCAGAGTAACTGTCCTGTCCCCTCTGATGACACAGAATGGGCTGGGACTGCTCATTTTGGCTGAAAATTGCAGTTTTGTTTTTTTGTTTTTTTTTTTTTTTTTTGAGCTAGAGCCTCACTTTGTCACCCAGGCTGGAGTGCAGTGACTCGATCCAGAGCTGGGGTGAGCGAGGGGGTGAATAGCCCGTAACCGAGTGAGCAGTGTCTCCTTTTATAAGATGCTTTAAAGGAAGATGCTCTCGGGGCTACAGGGAGAATGAGATGAACATTTCATATCCTCCCATTACAAGGGGAATTACGTCCCCCAAATCCACATGCTCAAGTCCTAATCCACAGCACCTCCCGCATGACGATATTTAGAGAGAGGGTCTTTATGGAGGTAATCGAGGTTAAATGAGCTATAAGTGGGCTCTAATCCAGTGAGACGGCAGCCTTTTTTTTTTTTTTTTTTTTTTAAGATGGAGTCTTCACTCTGTTGCACCAGGCTGGAGTGCAGTGGTGCAATCTCGGCTCACTGCAACCTCCACCTCCTGGGTTCAAGCAATTCCCTGCCTCAGCCTACATGAGCTGGGGCTACTGGTGCACGCCACAACACCTGGCTAATTTTTATAGTTTAGTAGAGATGGGGTTTCATCATCTTGGCCAGGATGGTCTTGAACTCCTGACCTCATGATCCACCTGCCTTGGCCTCCCAAAGTGCTGGAATTACAGATGTGAGCCACCGCACCCAGCCACCCCTTCTAAGAAGAGGAGGTCAGCTTGGGCATGACTGATCATGCCTATAATCCCAGCACTTTAGGAGACTGAGGTGGGCGGGTCACTTAAGCCCAGGAGTTTGAGACCAGCCTCAGAAATATGGTGAAACCCTGTCTGTACTGAAAATACAAAAATTAGATGGGCATAGTGGTGTGTACCTGTGGTCCCAGCTACTCGGGAAGCTGAAGTAGGAGGATCACTTGTGCCTGGGAGATCAAGGCTGCAGTGAGCCCAGATGGCACCACTTTATTCCTGGGTGACAGTGAGACCCTGTCTCAAAAAATAATAATAAAAATGAAAGAGGCATTGAGGACACAGACACACACGGGGAAGACCATGTGAAGACACAGGGAGAAGCCAGCATCCAGAAGCAAAGGCAAGAGGCCTGAGGACATGACTGACATCTGAGCAACTCACCTGTGGCACTTTATTACACAAGGCCAATGAACCAACGCACACCCTCGTTTCAAGGTTTCCGAAGATGCATTCATTCCCTAAAAGGGGCTCTGAAGGGGAGAGCTCGGGCCCACGCTGTCTCCAGCAGCACAATTAGAACCACCATCTCCAGACCCAGCCCCTCAACCACAGTGAGAAATTCAGAAATGCCCCCAGCAAACAGCTCCTTCCGAGGACTGCAGCAGCGGAGCCATCCTAGGTCTTGGATGTTTGTGCAAAAGCTACATTAAAACAACAAGGAGTAGCCAAGAAGTGACAGGAATGTGGGTGGAGAACACTCGTGTCACATCTAAGCTTCTGTCACTTTAAAGTTTTTCAAACTGCAAAACCCTTTTATTAAAAAGGCCTCACTTCCAAGGAGAGCCCAGCCCCGGAGATCCCCGTCGAGCTGTCAGGCACAGGTCCTTGGGGAGCAGGCGTTCCTGCAGAGCTGATGCCGCAGCTTCTGAGTGCCTGTGATCGCTAATTGCACCAGCAGGCAGAATGCAGGGTGCTCTCAATCAGCAGGGGACGGGGGTTCAGGCTTTTTTTTTCATCTTTTGGCCAAGGCAGACAACAACGGACTCAGCATCCCACGCACCTGAGGTGACTCGAGGCCTCAAACGCAAGCACCGGTGTTTAGAATCCTGCATTTTCAAAGGCTCTCATCCATTGGGAATTACATGGAAAGGGGATTGAGAACAACAGCCAAAAGAGGCAGGAGGTGGGGTGGAGTGGGGGGAGGGGCTGGGATGGGATGTGGGTAGGGGGTCCAGTTGGGGGGTGGGGTAAGGGTGGGGTGGGGATGACAGTCACACAGCTGGGACCAGAAGCCCATGGCGCCTGCCTCCCTGGAAAGGTACAGGGCACTGACAGATGGTGCTTTTCCCGCTGGGACACTCCTGCCACCATCCGCAGCTCCCCCGTCACTCCACATTCTTGTACTTGGTGAACAGGTTGTAAAGAACCCTCAGTGTGGATTTCAGGTCCAAGTTCACCACGTCTGCAGAAGGAAACAGAGAAACTTCAGGGGCCATGCCCTCCCCCTGTCATTGTGGTAGGTACTCTCAGAAGCCACATCTCCACAGCATGACACCAGCTGCTGCATCCCCACAGAGGGCTTAACCCTTGAAGACTGACCGCCACCCTGTCCAGGATGCTCTGGGTAGTGCCCCCCCAGGCACACAGGTTGTGTGAGAGATCCTGGTGCAGGCTAACACCCTGCAGGGACAAGCGCCTGGGACACAAGGACAGAGACACTCCCACAGCCCCTCCTGGATCTGCATCAGGACGTGTCTAAGGACTGGTTGGGGGATGTAGCTAATGACACTTACTGGGGCCAAAAACCCCAGTAACACTTGATGGACCCGACAGCTCCCTCTGGGGCCCTGGAAGTCTTGGGCCAGTTTCTTTGGTTGGAAGAGAACCTTCTTGGGAACCAGACACCTTGTTCATTTCACTTGCTCTGTGACCTCTAAGTGACTTCCCCATCTCTACGAAAAATACAAAAATTAGCCAGGCATGGTGGCGGGTGCCTGTAATCCCAGCTACTTGGAAAGCTGAAGCAAGAGAATCACTTGAACCCAGGAGGAAATTGCAGTGAGCTGGGATTGCGACACTGCACTCCAGCCTGGGTGACAGAGCAAGACTCCATCTCAGGGGGAAAAAAAAAAGTGGGGGGCGGGGCAGGGGGACAAAAAACAAGGGCTTCCTCAGCAGCTCAGTGGCCAAGGGCCACCAGGGGCTCTTCTGAGGGTATGGGGGGCACCCCATGCTACAGGTGGGGCTCAGTCTCTTCATCAGTAAAATGGGCCCAGACCAGATGACACTCGAGGCCCTTTGAACCCTGATACCTGTGATCCAAAGGTAACCATGGGTGACCTTGTGCTTTAGCCTGACCATGAGAGCAAGAAATGGCATCTGTCACTGAGAGAGCAGGTTGGGGGGCTGCTAAGAATCAGCAACTGTCCTTGTCACTGGGGTGGAGTTTCTCAACTCACACAGCCTTGTCAGAGCTGGTACAGCCTCCTTTCCTTCCCTCCCATTTCACAAAGAAGACCAAGACTCATGGTGGGGAAAGGACCTGACTGCAAGTGTGCTGTCAGAGCAAGATCAGAGCTGAACTTGGCTCCATGGGCTGAGGATGCACCTGGGGCCCTGTGGAGGATCCCAGGGTCTCCCCCTGGCCTGAAGGGTCCACCCCAGCTCCCGACAGCCCAGGGCAGGCAGGGGAGGGAGGATGGTGCCATGGAGCTAGAGGCAGCCAAAGCGAGGGGGACAGCAGGGACAGAGGAGATCCCAGAGGTGGGGGCCATCACCCGCTGACCCCCACTGAGTCCACTCCCACGGGGGATTCACAGGGAGACCGGAGCAGCAGCCTGGCACTGATGCCCCCACGTCTGAGCTCTGAGAACTTCCAGACAGCCTCGCTGGACAAACAGAACTCAGCCCTCGCACCCCTGCCAGACCCTGCTAACCACGGCCACCACTCAGCACCTGCACCCAGGGAGACAGGAATCCCATTCTGTGACCCGTGAACTCCAATCCCTCTGTGCTCCCCAAAGGCCCACCTCACCAACCAGCTCTGGCACTCAGCCGTGTGAACTTCTAGTGAGCGACAAGGCTCTCTCCCAGGCAAGAGGCCTCCTTAAGGGCAGGGTCGGGGACCCCACTGGCATCTCCTCCAGCTCCCCGCAAGGGGGCAGGGGGCTGGGATGCTCATCAGAGCTGGGGGCCTGGTGCAGGCCTGGCTGTTCAGATGCTCCATGTGCAGGGAACGTGAGACTGCTCTGCTTCCTCCAGGTGGGCACCGACAGGACAGCCACTGCCTCCCTCCCCACCAGCTCTGAGTACCCAGGTAAGTCTGCCTAGCTCAGAAGAGGGTGTCAGGGAGGCCGTAGCCACTGTGCCCTGTTCTCTGTGTCATTCTCATCTCTGGTACCTCCCGATTCTTGCTCCCCAGCATGAATGAAGAAGGAAAAATCTCTCATTTGTTGCATCAGCCACAAAGTAAAGAGGCCCAGCAGGGATCCCGTCTCATAAATCTCTGCGGATTGGCCCCTGGACTGGTTCCCATGTGTCCGTGGTGGCTTTCCTAATGTGCCATCCAGCCACGATCTCAGAGGCAGACGAGTACAAAGCACAACCTGGCTCAGGGCAAACCCCCTCCTCGGAGGCTGGCCTGTCAGAGGATGTCCTGGCCTCTGGACAAGCTCCTGCCTCCCTCCTCAAAAAAGGGACAAAGGGCTGGGTGCAGTGTCTCACACCTGTAATCCCAACACTTTGAGAGGCTGAGGCAGGTGGATCACCTGAGGTCAGGAGTTTGAGACCAGCCTGGCCAATAGGGTGAAACCCCATCTCTACTAAAAATACAAAAACTAGCCAGCATGGTGGCAGGTGCCTGTAATTGCAGCTGCTGGGGAGGCTGAAGCAGGAGAATTGCTTGAACCCAGGAGGTGGAGATTTCAGTGAGATGGGATGGAGCCACTGTACTCCAGCCTGGGTGACAGAGGAAGACTCTGTCTCGGGGAAAAAAGAAAAAGGGTGGGAGGTTATGGGAATACAGAAACAGAGCTCCCTCAGCAGCTCAGAGGCCAAGGACCACCAGGGGCTCTTCTGAGGGTATTGGGGAGAGCACCCCATGCTGCAGATGGGGCCCAGGCTCTGGGTTAAGGAGACTAAAGGAAGCCCCAGCCAAGCCCTCGGCGGACCTGAGCAAGGATTTCTCTTCCTGACAGTATGTGACCCCACCATACACTAACGCTAACCATCAATATATATAATCTCATCATATATAATCTCATCACATATACAATCTCATCATATATGATCTCATCGTATATAATCTCATATATACTCTCATCATATCATCATATATGATCTCATCATATATAATCTCATCATTTATATCTCATCAAACATAATATATATTTAATCTCATCATATGTTTAATTCTGTGAGCAGTACACTCTTCCAGTGCTCATAGAAGCAGCTCACTTGAGCTCAATAGGTGCTGAGGGGCTGGCAGGCTCAGCAGAACATGGGTGGCACTGCCTGTCGGCCCTGCTGGAAAGTTACAGGGCAGAGCTGAACACTGAAGGCCCTGACGAGTCCTGTGTGATGCACCTGCTCCCCCAGCGACCCCATGAGGTATGTGGATGCAGGTGCCATGGTCACTCCCCTGCACAGATGAGGCGGCCCTGACACAGAAAGGCAAAGTAACCTATCCAAGGACACACAGCTGGGAGAGGCAGAGCAGCATCCCCTGGGCCCCCAGCCACTCCCTCATGCCCCTGCCTCACAGCAACAAAAGGGCTGCAGGGCAGCAGCCATGAGGAGTCCCGGAGACCCAGGCCACGCTGGCCCCAATGGGCAGCAGCTCGCCACATGCCCACTGGACGCATGCTTTGACCCAGTACTGTCGAGCAGTTTCCAGGCCAGGCACTATTCTCAGCATGCAGGGGACAAAGCCCTGATGCCTTGGGGCTTCCATTCTAGTGCAGAGGGTGGGACAACGAAGAATCAACAGGCTGGGCACAGTGGCTCACACCCTTAAACCCAGCACTTTGGGAGGCCGAGGCAGGCCGATCATGAGATCAGGAGATCGAGAGCATCCTGGGCAACATGGTGAAACCCCGTCTCTACTAAAACTGCAAAAATTAGCTGGATGTGGTGGGTGCCTGTAATCCCAGCTACTGGGGAGGCTGAAGTAGGTGAATCGCTTGAACCAGGGAGTTGGAGGTTGCAGTGAGCCAAGATCATGCCATTGTGCTCCAACCTGGAGACCGAGTGAGACACCATCTCAAAAAAGAAAACAAAAAAAAAATCAACAAGGCCAGGCATGGGGCTCGTGCCTGTAATGGGAGGCAGCAAATCGCTGGAGCCCAGAAGTCTCAGACCAGTCTGGGCAACATAGTGAGACCTCACCTCTACAAAAAAAAAAGTTAAAAAATTAGCTGGGCGTGGTGGTATGCATCTTAGTCCCAGCGACTTGGGAGGCTGATGTGGGAGGATGGTGTGAACCCAAGAGGCAGAGGCTGCAGTGAGCTGTGATCACACCACTGCACTCCAGCCTGGGTGACAGAGTGAGACCCTGTCTCAAAACAAAAGAGAATAAACAGCCACACATGCAGTGAGACAGGAGGGTGTGGAATCGTCCTGTGAAACCCTGAGAGGAGGACGCACGGGCAGGAGGGGACCGGCCAGCGCCTTCCCCGTGGACTGGCAGGAGACAGCGACTGTGGCGGGTGGATGGAAGGGATGGGATCCATTTTCTCGCTATGTCAGAGACTCTACACAGCCTGCCATTGAGTGGATGCTGGGAACAGATGTAAGGACCATCACAGACCCCCCGACTCATGCATTACCATGGGGGACTCAGGAGAGGGAGCAGGGCTGGGTAGGGAGCCATGGTCAAGGTGGGGGCCCACAGGCATAAACCACAGTGTCTGAGTTCTGTGAGCTCCTCCTACGTGGCAAAAGTTTTGATGGAGGCAAAGAGATGGCGTCACACAGGACTTATCAGAGCCTTTAATGTTCAACTTTCCAGCAGGGCTCGCGGGCAGTTCCACTCACGTTCTATTGAGCCTGGCTGTCCCCAAGCATTTATGAAGAACCCTTCCCAGGAATTCTGATGCTCGTTCGGGTTAGAGTCCTCGTACAGGCAACTCAGCACAGGAGCCAGGTGGGGACAGTGAAGTGACCACTCACCCCGCCTCTGCTGGCCTCCTACCCCCAGCTCAGACCCACACAGAGCAGGATTGTGCCGAGTCCCTGCTCCCGCTCTGCGTTCAGCTGAGCAGCAGGAGACCTCCACCCCAAGCATCATTAAATCTGAGTAAGCCTTTAATACCTTCTCAGGCCACAAAGCTGCATTTCCAGCCCAAGTGGCCAGCTAGAGACGCACTTCATCCTGAGGTCTGTGGGCAGAGGCCACGTCCTTCAAAGTGGTTATTAAAGAACCGGCACTGCCAGCTCCACCAGCAAAGTCCTCCTGGTCCCCAACATGAGGAGACTGGGGAGCTGAGGTTGGCAAACCCTTGCCCCAGAGCCAGAGATGCAGGGCCCATCTGGGGAACAACACACCAGCCTTCCAGCCACTTCTGGGACCCGGTTTTCCTCCCCTCCAGCCCTAGCCCTCACGGGGAAGCTGAGCCAGGGGCTTTACCTTCAGGGCGAGCCTTGGGTTTCTTCAGGCCTCCGTCCAGCATCAGCTCAAAGGCGAAGGACACATTATGGACCTGCCAAGGAAGGGGGCGGGTCAGCGGTGGGGTCCACAGCCATCCCCAGCCCAGGCCCATCCACTGCCCACTGCTTGAGGACAGCCAGTGTAGACAGGACGGAGCCTCTGGAATGCTGAGGTCCACAAGGATGAGCCCAGGGAAGCCCACAGAGTGGGCGGTCGGGGGGAGGAAGTCTGCAGAGGGCCACATGCACGTCCTAGGCGGGTCTCACTCCTCACGCTGGTGGTCTATGCTGAGAGATGAAGGGTGAGGTGTCTGGCCAGCTTTCAAGGGCTCACAGCCAACAAGAGCCTGCTCTGCCCCAGACACCTGCAACGTGATGAGAAGTCACAGTGACCCCATTTTACTTATTTACTTACTTATTTCCTTTTTTTTTTTGAGACAGGATCTGTCACCCAGGCTAGAGTGCAGTGGCAAGATCTCGGCTCACTGCAGCCTCTGCCTCCCAGGCTCCAGCCATCTTCCTGCCTCACCTTTCCAGTAGCTGGGACTCCAAGCACGCATCACTGTGTCTGGCTAATTTTTGTATTATTATTATTATTATTATTATTTTTAGAGATGGTTTTGCCACGTCGGTCAGGCTAGTCTCTAATTCTTGGGCTCCACTGATCCACCTGCCTAAGCCTCCCAAAGTGCTGGGATTATAGGCATGAGCCACAGTGCCTGGCCCACAGTGACCCCATTTTACAGAGAGGAAAACCGAGGCCCAGAGAGGATAAGTCCCGAGCAGAAGCACGCAGACCTGGGCACTGCCCCAGGAAGGGCTATAAAGAGCTGCACATGCCCAGGCGTGGTGACTCATGCCTGTAATCCCAGCACTTTGGGAGGCTGAGGCAGACAGATCACCAGGTCAGGAGTTCGAGACCATCCTGGCCAACATGGTGGCACCTCATCTCTACTAAAAATACAAAAATTAGCCGGGCATGGTGGCAGAAACCTGTAGTCCCAGCTACTCAGGAGGCTGAGGCAAGAAAATCTTTTGAACCTGGGAGGCGGAGGTTGCAATGAGCTGAGATGACACCACTGCACTCCAGCCTGGTGACAGAGGGAGACTCCACGTGCCCTCCCCACCCCAAAAAAAAAAACAGAGCTGCTCGTGAGGCTGTGTCTTTGCAGGATGGGGTGCCCTTGGGGCAGGGAGGGCCCCAGCACTGAGCAGGCACAGTGAACTGGTCAGAACTGAAGTCAGACCCATGGTGGCTGCAAGCGTCAGCCTGCAGTGTCCTGGTCCTGTTAGATGCTGCAGAAAGGTGGCCACCTCCCCACCTACGATGACTTCTCCTGATATAAAAGGGTCTGTGACTACTCAGTGCCCAGTGTACGGGAAGCTTTCATTCTGCTAGTGATGGCTGAACAGATTTAAAATAAGAGCCTTCTGGGCTGTGTAAAGACCACTGGAGACGGATGTAGGTAATGAACCAGATTACATCCAGCCACCCACCTGCCACGAGCCAAGGCTGATGGGAGGAGGGGACATCAAACAAAAACACAGATGTCATACTGCAAGGGACTTCAGGGTTCTTAGCAATCAAATGTTACGTGCAGGCACGGTGGCTCACGCCTGTAATCCCAGCACTTTGGGAGCTGAGGCAGGTGGATCACTTGAGGTCAGGCACTTGAGACTGGCCTGGCCAACGTGGTGAAACCCTGTCTCTGCTGTAATTTAAAAAATCAGCTGGGCTTGGTGGTGCACACCTGTAATCCCAGCTAATTGAGGGCTGAGGCATGAGAATTGCTTGAACCTGGGAGGCAAGGTTGCAGTGAGCTGAGATTATGCCACTGCACTCCAGCCTGGGCAACTGAGCAAGAATCTGTCTCAAAACAAAATGAAAAATCCTTTCAACAATCATATTTTCATGATTCTGAGGTCAATGAATCAGAAGCATGAACAATTTGACTTGTGATATAATTGAATAATCCACCAGGAAAAATCGGCTTCCCTTGGTTAATCAAACGTACAGCACTGGAAAACAGCGGGGGTGCTTCGGAAAAGCTTCCACAATGTACGTGGCCTTTGCTCGGAGAAGCAAAGTGGTGAATGGTGTTGTGCCAGCGCCAACTGCGAGAGGGCCTGGCTAGACATGGAGTCTGTGGGGAAGACACCGCCCGGCAGGAGGGCAGGCCATGTCCACCCCGGAGGCGGGGAGGGTAAGCAAACCGAGACCATGCTCCAGAGACCAACTCGGAAACTACCAGTGAGAACACCAGGCAACAGGGCAGATACCCCAACCCTGCAGGATAGCCTGCCTGGATATGGGGGTGGGCTGCAGCAGGGCTAGGCCTGAGGGTGCCCAAACACTGGAAATGGGGAAGGAGTAAAACAGCCTGTGTGGAGGGTGCAGAGAGCAGTTCCCCCAAGGAGAGAGCAGGGAGCAACCTGTGGATGCCAGCGCCCACCATGGGGCAGGTGCATTCGGCACAAGCTCCCTTTCCCCTCCCGGCCCTGTGTGAGGTTGGGTACCATCTTCCTTCCCAGAGGAGGGCGCTGGGGACATCGGTGCCCTAAAAAGGCACAGGGCTCAAAGGGATGGAACCAGGACTGAAACACATTTAAATCTGATCTGGATTCTGTGCCCATTCTCCTCCAAGAGCCTCCTGCCTCGGCTCCCCTTGCAACACAGGTCCCTTTAGCTGACCACGGTCCATGTCATCGAATTAGCTCTCACACATGTGCACACGCACACATACACACTCACGCACACACAACAGGCCTGGCCCCAAATGGAGATGCAGACAGGATAGCAAAGAGGGGGAACAGAAAGAAAAGATGCTGTTAGATGCCGCAGAAAGCTGGCCCCCTCCCCACCTACCATGACTTCCCCTGAAATAAAAGCGTCTATTACTACTCAGGTATGTTTCTTTTAAGGAAAGATTCTTTCCCCGTGTGAAAGTTAGCACCAGTTTGGACCAGTCTCTTTTCGTGCCTCTCCCATACGCCTCTGAAGCCTGAGGAATCCTCTTCCATGCAGAGAAGGGGGGATGCTCAGGAGGAGCTGGGGATGAGATGCATGACACGTGGAGATGCTCAGAGATGGCTGGAGAGTGTGATCGGGCGATGAGGTGGTCACCCCTGCCCCAGGAGAGAACAGCTCAAGGGGCGAGCAAAGCCCCTTCCAAGCCCCTTCCAAGCCCCTTCCAAGCCTCACTGCTCTGCAGACACTCAGCCCTGCAGTGACTGGTTTGGAAGTGAGATTTTCCTTCTGCTTTCTTCTCAGGCTGAGGAAATGCTGGGCAGGAAACTGCCACCGTCCCATGCCTGTCCTCTCTCAGGGCCCTGCCTCTGCCTCTGCCCTCAGCCATCTCCCATGCCCCGCAGGACAGGATCAGGGCAGAATCCCAGCACGCAGCTCCTGGCGAGGCCTGGGGACCACCCAGCCCGACCCTGACTGCAGTGGGAGCCGCCAAGGCCCAGCGAAGATCAGGCCATACACATCCCTGCTTCAAGAAAGCCACATGGGCAGAAATCCTTCTCTCCGCAATTCAAAAGGTTTCAGTCAACCTGGCCGGGTGAGGAAAGAATAGAAGGTTCTGGAATAGGAGTCAACCCTCCTGGCTCTGCTGTTGCTGGCCATGCAAACCTGGGCTGGCCTCGAAGCCCTCCTGAGATTCCCTGTCCTCGTCCAGTAAGGCTGAAGGGATCAGCTGAGGGGAAGCAACTCGTGTTTTCTTCTAGGAAACATCTCCACGTCTCCAGGGTACACCCCACTCCACAGAGACAGGGAGCCTGCAGAGTCTCCCAAAATGATGACCAAGGGGTGCAAGGCACTCAGCACGTGGCCAGTGTAGGATAAGACTCCACGGTGGCTTTGCAACAGAAAGCCAGGGATGCCAGGCACGTTGGCTCACGCCCGTAATCCCAGCACTTTGGGAAGCTGAGGTGGGTGGATCACCTGAGGTCAGGATTTTGAGGCCATCCTAGCCAACATGGAGAAACCCTGGCTCTACTAAAAAGACAAATTAGCCGGGTAAGGTAGCAAACACCTGTAATCGTAGCTACTTGGGAGGCTGGGGCAGGAGAATCACTTGAACCTGAGAGGTGGAGGCTACAGTAAGCCGAGATTGCACCATTGCACTCCAGACTGGGCAACAAGAATGAAACTGTCTTAAAAAAAAAAAAAGAAGCCAGGCCATTCTCACACTTCTGAGGTAGCTCACAGGGCAGAAGCCTACAGGCTCTGAGCTGTCCAACGTGATTTTTTGTTTTTTAATCCAATGCAATTGTTTAAAACCATAAGCCATGACTACCCTCGGGACAGCAGCTCATGATGTATCTCTGCTTTTGCTCACTGAACCTCAGTCCCTCCTCCAAAAATGTGGAGCAGCTGTAAGGACTCCCAGGGCCAGAGCAAACGCATCTCAGCGTCTCAGCCCACAAGAGACATGAGCAGGGCAGGTCAGCAACATCCCGTCTGCAAGCAGTTTTGAACACATGGGTGCTGGGCCTAGCCTGAAGCGGGTGAGTCCTCCACAGCAGGGGACCACCCACCTGTCCAGGGGTTGTGAGGACTGTAAGATAGATAACAAATACCATGGGCCCATGGAGACTTGACAGCAGCTGCCATTATGACCATCATACCATGAGGAAAAAGGGGGAAAAATGCAGGGGCCGGAGGAGGAACTCCTCCCATCCCCCCATCCTCCCATCTTCCCATTCCCCCATCCCTCATCCTCCCATCCTCCCATCCTCCCATCCTCCGAAGCTGCTGACATCCTCCCATCTCCAGACACCGGCAGAGCCACGCCACCACCCCAGGCTCCCGTTCTCCTGAGTGAATAGGATGAATGGTGTGCTGCGTGCTGTACCTGAAAATAGCCTTCCCTTCCTCGCTGCGATTCAGAGGGGAAAGCAGATGACTCAAGCCTCCTCAAGCCTCGCAGGCCAGGGCAGCAATCGTCAAAGACTTTCATCCCAGTTTCAAAGGGAAGAAGGCCAGGGCCCAGGAGATGACGCCTCTGACATTTGTACAAAGCCTTGTCTTGGAAAGAAACCAGCTCTAAGTCTCCTCGCTACACTCACTGTTCTTGCCAGCGTTCTTATTAGTTTGAACAAAGAAAGGAACTCTCCAAAAGAATGTTTCTGCAACCAGCGTGTCAGGGCCCGGAGATGCAGGAGCGTCTTCACTGCATTGTCTGCCCTTTCATTCCCAGGATGACAGCACAGGCACCCATGTTTCCTGGTGAGTTCTGCACAATTCTGCTCATTCCCTCTGCATTCCCTCTTGCTCTTGCACACTCGTCTCTCTCTGTCTCTCTCTCTCTCTCTCTCTCTCTCTCTCTCGATTCAACATGGACTCCATGTGCCAAGACCTCTCTAATCTGTCCTGATTCCATCTCAGCAGGCAAGACAGGAACATTTGGCCACAGCAAACAGACTGCAATGTGCCGGAAGTGGGCAGATTGATAAACACTGGCCCCATTTCTGCTATTTCTCTGGCTGCCACCACCAGCTTACATTGTCTGCCTCCCTGACTCATGGGTCTAACACTTTGGGAAAATAAAATGACAGACGCCCGTGAATCCAAAGCAACATAGACTATCCATGGCCAAGTTTTTAATGGCAATGCACTAAATACTGCCACGAGCGGCTTCACTGCGGAAGCCCTGGCAGAGAGCAGACAGCAGGGAGGAGCCCACGCACAGGGCAGCCACAGTGGGACCGGGGGCGTGGGCCAGCCCATTTGAAAGGAATGACCCAGATGACCCTAGCTGAGAAATTTTCCCAAGAAAACAATCCACAGGGATGAAGAAACAAACTCTATGTCAAAAGATGTTCTGTTGTTTCAGTAGGAAAAAAAAAATAGAAACACTTTCAAGTTGATGGCCAAGAATGGGGAATGGGGAGACACTGGTAACGGAGCCATGCTTGGGACTTTGTGCCACCACTGGACACGGCATTTGGGAAGCTTGGGAAGCAGCAGGGAAAACCACAGGCACTGGATCTGCAGCAGAACAGGGAAAGGGTTTACAACTCTACTAAGATGTAATCACAATTATTAAAAACTACACGGTCCCGGCCGGGTGCTGCTGCTCACGCGTGTAATCTCAGCGCTTTGGGAGGCCGAGGCAGGAAGATGACACGGTCAGGAGTTTGAGACCAGCATGGCCAATATGTTGAAAACCCATCTCTACTAAAAATACAAAAATTACCCAGATGTGCTGGCAGGCGCCTGTAGTCCCAGCTACTCAGGAGGCTGAGGTAGGAGAATCACTTGAACCGGGAGGCAGAGGTTGCAGTGAGCTGAGATCACGCCACTGCACTCCAGCCTGGGCAACAAGAGCGAGACTCCATCTCAAACAACACTCCAGCCTGGGCAACAAGAGCGAGACTCCATCTCAAAAAACAAAACCAAAAAAAAAAAAAAACTACACAGTCTGTGGAAAAGACCCCAAATAAAATGTGGCAAACAAAACTCAGATGCGTCGCGCACTGCTGAGGGGTTATTTCTTAGCTGAGAGTTCCATCTCATTGCAGTATCACTTGTGCGATGTTTACTTTTTGAAGAATGCAGCCAGGCCGCAGAAAGAGCTGCCAGGATGTTATATGCCCTGCATTTCAATGAGTGTTTCTTGAGCCACTACCGAGGATGGAGACCATGCACATACCTTCTGATCGAAGCTTTCCGGGGTCAGGTAGAAGTTGTGGAGAGGAACAAAGTAGTCTTCCAGGAGGCCCATTAGCAGAACCAGATACACGCCATCTGCAAACTGCAGAGAAAGACTCATGATGTTTCCGGGCGGGGTATGGGGTTGGCAAATACGTTGCACAAACTCAAGGGGGGCATATTTTTTTATTCTGAGACAGAGTCTCTCTCTGTCACCCAGGCTGGACTGATGCAATCAAGCCTCACTGCCGCCTCGACCCCCTGGGCTCAGGTGATCCTCCCATCTCAGCCTCCCAAGCAGCTGGGACTATAGGTGCACACCACCACGTCTGGCTAACTTTTTGGTTTTGCTTTGACAGAGTTTTGCTCTTGTCACCCAGGCCGGAGTGCAATGGCACCATCTCCACTCACTGCAACCTCCGCCTCTGGGTTCAAGTGATTCTCCTGCATCAGCCTTTGTATTTTTTATAGAGACAGGGTTTGGCCATATTGCCCAGGCTGGTCTTAAATTCCTAGGCTCAAGTGATCTGCTTGCCACAGCCTCTCAAAGTGCTAGGATTACAGGTGAGAGCCACTGCACCTAGCCGGAAATATTTTAAAGTAAAGCAATCCATCCCTCCCTTCACTTCAGGCAGGAGAATCTGGAATCAAGTGAAGGCATGATCATGAAATCCTTTGAGACCCGGCACCTCATCTAGGAAAAGCAAAAGGGCTCTAATACATGAGCACTGCAAATACTAAATATGATGAGATGAGTGTTTGCAGCTGCCTAGTTAGGACTGTGCCTTTGGAACCGTCCCCTGCTTCTGGCCCCAGGGATAGCACTGACTCCCATCGCTCAGGGTTATCATAAAGGCACAGCGAGATGGCGGGCAGGGAGCCCGCAGCACACGTGAGTGCTCCCTCAGCATCAGCTGCTGGAATCATTCATTCCGATCTGCAGGGCGCAGAGGTGGGACCAGGTGGCCCTCACTGACTCTGTCTTACAGCAGAGACCACAGTGAGTGCAGCCCCAGCTTCCATGGGTCTAGAGATACTGTCCAACATGGTAGCCAATGGCCACATGCAGCTATTTAAATAAAAAATGTTTGTGTTTGAATGTTGCTGACTTATTCTTTTTTGTTGTGATAAAATATACATAGGCTGAAATTCGCCATCTTAACCACTTGTAAGTTGTGGGAAGTAGAAAAGTTCCTCTTCAAATTTTCTTTCCTGTTAAAGAATAAATGTGCTAATAACTTTGTTCAAAGTCCTCTCCTCTCTAGCTGTTAGACGTGCCATGCTTATAGGCATATGGCACATTCTATGTCCTTGTACTTTAACCAAGACATCAGTACTGAACGTGCTCACAGGCATGTCCCAGCTCTCCACTGCTTTTACCTGTTTAAAAACGTTTTAAGTTATTAGCCAGTCCGGTTTCAGTTGAGGTCTGGCTCCAGCCAATGGAGATCAGACACAGCAGTGAGGATGACCCCAAATGCGTAAGGGATAAACATGTCTGCTTTCCTCTGTTCATTATACTCTCATGGCCGGATGGCTGGCGAGGGTACCCTTCCTGCAGTGCAGGAAGTAAAAATTGCTTGCTGAGAGATCCTTTGTCTCAGTGCTGATTTCTCTTCGTGGCACCGAGCATCTATTTCCAACATAAGTGCACGGGTCAGTGGCAGTAAGTGCATTCTCATCGTTGGGAATGCACTCGCTCACACCCACACATCTCCAGAACTTCTTCATGTTCCCAAAGTGAGACTCTGTCCCCCAGGTCTCTACTCTCTCCCCAGGCCCTGAGAACCACCAATCATTCTACTCTCTGTCTCTATGAATTTCAGTCCTCTGGGTATCTCATGTAAATGGAATCACATAGCCATTTGTCTTTTTGTACCTTGCCTATGCTGACTCTTCTCTTTAGTTAAATTGTGGTAAAAACATACCATCACATTTACCATCTTAACTACTTTTAAGTGTCCAATTCAGTCATGTCAGGTACATTCACGTTGTTGTACAATCTCCAGGATTCTTAAATCTGACTGTTTCTAAAAATTCATTAAAATTAAAAATTTCATGTCTCAGCAGCATGACCACATTTCGGGTGCTCAGTAACCACGTGTGGCCAGTGGCTGCCGTGCTGGCTGGCACAGCTACAGGACACTTCCATCATGAAAGAAAGGTCTGTTCATCAGTGCTGGTCTGGAAGATTCTCAGGGAGAACAACTGGAGAGACGAGAGGGGCTGGGGTACCTGGGAAGCCTCCAGCTCCCTGAGACCAGCAACAATTGCAATGGATAAAACTAGAACTCAAAGATGGGAGGGTGTTTTATTGAAAACAGCAGCAGCAGCAGCAGGCCCCTCCTAGGTAGACCTCCAAGGCCCCTATCCTGTTGGTACTTTAAGATGAGAAGTCAAGGCCAGGTGCAGTGGCTCACACCTGTCATCCCAGCATTTTGGAAGGCCGAGGTGGGTGGATCATTTGAGGTCAGGAGTTCGAGACCAGCCTGGTCAAGATGGTGAAACTCCATCTCTACTAAAAATACAAAAAGAAAAATTAGCTGGGCTTGGTGGATCTATGCCTGTAATCCCAGCTACTCAGGAGGCTGAGGCAGGAGAATTGCTGGAACCCAGGAAGTAGAGGTTGCAATCAGCCGAGATTGTGCCACTGCAGAGCCTGGGCAACAGAGCAAGACTCCTTCTCAAAAAAAAAAAAGATAAAAAGTCAAAATCACAAACATCCAATATCAGAAGCCCTGACCTTTAGAAGAGGAAGGTACAACTAGAGCATAAAGCACGAAGCAATGCCAGTGGGCCACAGTCCCTCATGGGACCCAGGATAGGGTCTGAGCCCTGAATTCAACCCGCTGTCAGTTGATGGGCAAATGGCACTTGCTCTGCACGTCACAAACCTCGGCCTTCCATACCACAAAACAGCCAGCCACTCCTCTCATTAAGGAGATCAGAGGGTTTGAAGGACTTTTTTTTTTTTTTTTTTTTTTTTGAGGAGTCTCGCTCTGTCACTCAGGCTGGAGTGCACTGCTGCGATCTCAGCTCACTGCAACCTCCGCCTGCAGGGTTTATGCGATTCTCCTGCCTCAGCCTCCTGAGTAGCTGGGACTATAGGTGTCCACCACCAACCTGGCTAATTTTTTGTATTTTTAGTAGAGACGGGGTTTCACTGTATTGGCCAGGATGGGTTCAATCTCCTGACCCGTGACTGCCTGCCTTGGCCTCCCAAAGTGCTGGGATTACAGGCATGAGCCACCACGCCCGGCTGAAGAACTCCTTTAAGTCTGTCTCCACAGGGAAGCTTCGTGCCCACAGCATCTTGGTCAAGCGTGTTGGCATTTTCCCACCAGAATAACACCGAGCTGGCTTGTGCACAGAGGCCAGAACCCATGTTCTGTGGACTAACCTCCAGGGAACTGAAGCTGCCTTGTGAACGTGAATGAAGGCGCCAACCCACACCTCTCCCCAGGAGGTCTGGGGAGGCTACACTGCTGCGCCCGCAGGCCCCGAACTTCCTTCCACTGTGTCTCCTCCCTGTCCCAGTACACGGGGTCACAGGAAGGCAGGAGGGACCGCCACATGGAAAGGGCAGGGCCTGGGGCCCCCGCTGTGAGCAGGTGACCCTTCACTCTCACAAGCACCCAGGGTGGTGGTCTCACTCAGCAACCTGCTGTGCAGCTCCGTGGGGAGCAGGATCCCCAGAGGCCCCGAGACCCCACAGCTGCCTCCTCATCAGCAGAGCTAACCCCTGCCAAGCCCCGCCCACGCTGATCTCAGCCGCTGTCTCAGCCTATCCTCACACTGCCATCATCTCCAGTTCAACCCTGTGGACAGAAGCTCAGGGAGGCTGAGGGGCTCACTCTCTGTCACGCAGAGGCAGAGGACCTGTCACCATCACACAGCAGGCACGCTGACCACAATGTCAGAATGGTTTGGAAATGAGGGAAAACACACGCATACACCACATACATACCACACAGAGACTACACAAACCACACACACCACACACCACAGACTGCATAAACCACACTCACATGCACATCACACAGGCTATGTAAACCACACATATCATACACACTATATAAACCCCACACATCACATACCACAGACTACATAACCCACACACACACGTCACACAGACTACATAAACCACACACACACACACCTCCACACACTACATAAACCACACACACACCACATACAGTACACAAACAACACAAAGACACAGACTACATAACCCACACACACACACCACACACCACATACCACACAGACTACATAACCCACACACACACCACACACCACACAGACTCATAAACCAGACACACCACAGACTATATAAACCACACACACACACCACACAGACTACATAATACACACACACACTACATAAACCACACACACACCACATACTACACAAACCACATACACACTACACAGACTACATAACACACACACACCACACAGACTCCATAAACCACACACACACACCACAGACTACATAACCCACATAAACACCACACAGACTCATAAACCAGACACACCACACAGACTACATAAACCACACACACTACAGACTACATAATCCACACACACCACACAGACTACATAACCCACACACACCACAGACTACATAACCCACACACACACCACACACCACACAGACTACATAAACCACACACACACACCACACAGACTACATAACCCACACACACACTCACACACACTACATGAACCACACACACCACACTACACAAACCACACACACTACACAGACTATATAATCCACACACCACACAGACTACATAACCCACACACACACTCACACACACTACATGAACCACATACACCACACTACACAAACCACACACACCACACAGACTACATAATACACACACCACACAGACTACATAACCCACGCACACACCACACAGACTACATAACCCACGCGCACACACACACACACACCAGACTACATAACACACACACCACATACTACATAAACCACACACACCACACACCACACAGACTCATAAACCAGACATACCACACAGACCACATAAACCACATACACACACCACACAGACTACATAACTCCCACACACACCCCCACACACTACATAAACCACACACACTACACAAACCACACACACACCACAGACTACATAATCCACACATAACCAGACTACATAACCCACACACACACCACACAGACTACATAACCCACACACACACACCAGACTACATAACACACACACCACACACTACATAAACCACACACACACACTACACAAACCACACACACCACAGACTCATAAACCACACAAACCACACAGACTACATAAACCACACACACACACACACACACACACACACCAGACTACATAACCCCCCCACACACACCAGACTACATAACCCCACACACACACACACACACCACATACTACATAAACCATACACACACCACACACACTACACAAACCACACACATACCACACAGACTACATAACCCACACGCACCACAGAGACTACATAACCCACACACACACCACAGACTCATTAACCACACACACCACACAGACTACATAAAACACACACACACACACACACACACACTACATAAACCACACACACTACACAAACCACACACACACCACACAGACTACATAACCCACACATACACCACACAGACTCATAAACCACACACACCACACAGACTACATAACACACACACACTACATAAACCACATACACTACACAAATCACACACACCACACAGACTACATAACCCACACACTCACCACACACCACACAGACTCATAAACCACACACACCACACAGACTACATAAACCACACACACACACCACAGAGACTACATAACCCCCACACACACACCACACATACTACATAACCCACACACACTACATAAACCACACACACACCACACACACTACATAAATCACACACACACCAGGCTACCTAAGCCACACACAAACACCACACAGACTACATAAACCACACACACACCACACACAGACACACACACAGAGAAATGGACACACAGAGAAACCAGGGCCTCTCTGACTCCCAGGGCATCAAGACATTAATGATTTATAGTCTTTATAAATGATATATGATATTTATACAAATACCCAAATTCCCTTGCAACAACAACAAAAAAAAATCCCTGCCTTTCTGTGGCCAGTTACCTCTTCTGGTGGGCCAATGATTAAACATATGTGTAAGACTCTGTATAGTGTGATAATAGGAAAAAAACGTCGATATTGAGTAAATAGAAATAAATGCAAATTTAATTTCAGAGTCTCAATCTAAGAGGCTCAGCTGCTCAGAGCGATGTGCAGGCCCCTCTGAGAAGGGATGTGGGGATAGGTGGGATGGATGTGGAAGAGCAGTGCCCGTCACCGCCCCGTGACGGTACCAGGGGCTCCCATGCAGCAAACCTTCCCGGGTCTTCAGAGAGGGCGGTGTGGGCTTTGCTCTAATGACTCCACTTCTAGGCGTTTATCCTGAAGAAGCAGACCGGGGCACAGACAGCTGTACACAAAGATGCTCTCTGCACTACTGTTTACAGGAGCAGAAAAGCATCCAGTTGTGAGGCGCTGCTTTAATGAAGTGCAGTGCAGCCTTCCAGCTGATGAGATATACTTCCCATCTCATGGGAAGTGACAAAAGACAGGTGAGGTGGCTCACGCCTGTAATCCCAGCACCTTGGAAGGCCAAGGTGGGCGGATCATGAGGTCAGGAGTTTGAGACCAGAGTGGCCAACACAGTGAAACCCTGTCTCTACTAAAAATACAGTTAGCTGGGTGTGGTGGCAGGTGCCTGTATTCCCAGCTACTCAGGAGGCTGAGGCAGGAGAATCGTTTGAACCAGAGAGGCGGAGGCTGCAATGAGCTGAGATGGTGCCACTGCACTCCAGCCTGGCTGACAGAATGAGACTCTGTCTCAAAAAAAAAAAAGTGACAAAATATAGATAGATGGATAGATCGAGCAAGGAAAAAAGAATCAGACAGGAACACACACATACACACAGACACACACATACACTTTCTCTTACACCAAAAGATGTCCACAGTGTAGCTAGTGATACAAAGCACATTACAAAACAGTGGACAGCAAGATCCACCATCATTTAGGGAAATACATTTATGCACAAAAAAAATCTAGAAAAATACACACCCAACCACGAACTGCAGTTAGTTACCCCCGAGGGTCTGAAGGGGAGGGGTCTGCAGAAAAGGATAAAGGAGGATTTTTACTTTTCACCTCCCCTGCTTCTGGGGGCTCACATCTCAAACAGAAAACAATCCGAGGCTGAATGCACGATATTTGTAAACTGCGGAAAACAATACACAAATAAACAGACACATTAAAAACAGACCGCGATGCTGTCACAGACAGACCCACACTGCCTGCGACTCGCTGTCCACGTAGAGAGTAGGTCTGAACAAAACCCTCTGCACAGTCGTCTCCGGGCGATGGGCTTACAGATGGTTTTTATTTGTTTTGCTTATCTGCATTTTCAGACATTTCTACAATGAACCTGAATTACTTTTTTAATTAGAAAAGCAAATGAGAAAAGTTAAAGAAGGAGAAGGGAATGAATTTGGCTGCCCTGGGGTTTAAGAAGGATCAGCTGTGCGTTAGGGATGTCTGCATCAGGAGCTCAAAAGCCTCCGCAGCCAAGCACCCTGCTAATCCTGGGAAAATTGTATTTTGTCTTTAATGCTCGCCGAGTGCTCAAAAACATACTTTCCCGACACTCCTGTAGCTCTGAGTGGGGGTTGGGGCTGGAGGAGTAAACTTGATATACAGAAGGAATGTGTTATATGTACTGACCAGGAGGACATTTGCCAGGTCCCCGCCACAGGGTGACAGCGGCACTGAGCGGAGGCTGAAGGGGCCAGAATGTTCTTTTTCTTTCTCTTTTTTGAAAGTGAGTCTCGCTCTTGTTGCCCAGGCTGGAGTGCAATGGTGCAATCTCAGCTCACCACAACCTCTGCCTCCCAGGTTCAAGCGATTCTCCTGCCTCAGCCTCCAGAGTAGCTGGGACTATTACAGGCACGCACCACCACACCCAGCTAATTTTGTATTTTTAGTAGAGACAGGGTTTCTCCATATTGGTCAGGCTGGTCTTGAACTCCCGACCTCAAGTGATCCACCCACCTCGGCCTCCCAAGGGCCAGCACGTTCTAGATAGAGGAATTGCAGGTGCCAAGGCCCTGTGGTGGGCTGGGGTGTTAGGGGGTTGAATAAATAACACCCTCAGGTGTTTTGGGGTTTTGCGTCTCCCAGAAAAAGACGCAGTGGAACCCTAATCACCAGACCTGTGAATGTGGCGTATTGGAAACAGGTTTACAAAGATGCAGTCAGGTAAAGATGAAGTCATGGGCGGGCTCCCATCCAGCGTGACCAGGTCCTGGTTAAATGGGGAAATCTGGACACAGAGACTCGCACACAAGGACACACCGATGCGTGTACAAGCCGAGGAAGCCAATGATCCCAGCAAAAACCCAGAAGCTGGGAGAGAGACCAGGAACAGATCCTCCTGATGGCCTTGGAGGGAACCGACCCGGACCACACCTTGATTTTGGATTCTGAGCCTCCAGCACTCCAGGACACAGAGGTCTGTTGTTTCAGCCACTTGGCTTGTGGTGCTTTGCCGCAGCAGCCCCAGAAAAGGAAGACAGAGGGGCTGAGAAGGCCTCGTGGTTATTTCTGCCCATGCCACAGGAATTCCTTGCAAGATGAGCAAACTGGAGCCAGCTTTGTTCACCCGCCCCACCTGGGATGAAAACGCTGAGTGAAAACAGTGGCGGGCAAAACCGCGTATACCTGGGTCTCCAGTTCCGTCACCTCCAGATTCAGCTTGTTCAGGTGCTTGTTCACAAAAGTGATGAGAGACTGCCGAGAACAAAAGAGACACAGAAGCCATGAGTGGCCGCGTGCAGGCCCCGTCTGGAGGGGCAGGCTTGACCTCTGCCAGCCCCGGCGCTGTGAAACGCTTTCATCATCTCCTGTTTGCTGAAATTAAAAGCCCGTGTTTCAAACGCAACATCCCAACAATAGCCCCTAGTTTTCCTTTTTTCTTTTTTTGAGACGGAGTCTCACTCTGTCGCCAGGTGCCAGGCTGGAGTGCAATGGCACAATCTCGGCTCACTGCAACCTCTGCCTCCTGGGTTCAAGCAATTCTCCTGTCTCAGCCTCCCGAGTAGCTGGGATTACAGGCATGCGCCACCATGCCCAGCTAATTTTTTTTTTTTTTTTTTTTTTTTTAGTAGAGACGGGGTTTCACCATGTTGGCCAGGATGGTCTCAATCTCTTGATCTCGTGATCCACGTGCCTCGGCCTCCCAAAGTGCTGGGATTACAGGTATGAGCCACCGCGCCCGGCCTAGCCCCTAGTTTTCATGGCACCATGCCCGTACCTGTCCTGGCTACGCGTGTCCCTGTTCACCAACCCATGCACGCATATGCTGATCCGCACACGTGTGCCATATTTAACAATCACACTGAAGAACACTCGGTGCTCTTAAGAAAGATACAAAACTGCCAGGGGAGGATCATTACATTTGCAAATGTATCTTAGAGGTGATCTGGAACTGTGAATAGCACACTCAGAAGACTGACAGGGAGGTGCTGCTGCCTTGGGCCACGCCTATCAAGGTTTTTTCCCTTTTTGTTTTTTTGAGATGGAGTTTTGCTCTTGTTGCCCAGGCTGGAGTGCAATCACGCAATCTCAGCTCACTGCAACCTCCACCTCCCAGGTTCAAGGGATTCTCCTGCCTCAACCTCCATAGTAGCTGGGATTACAGACATGCACCACCACGCCCAGCTAATTTTGTATTTTTAGTAGAGACGGAGTTTCTCCACGTTGGTCAGGCTGGTCTCGAACTCCCGACCTCAGGTGATCCGCCCAGTTGGGCCTCCCAAATTGCTGGGATTATAGGCGTGAGTCACCATGCCCAGCCCACCTGTGGATTTTCGGTGCATGGGGAGATCCACTCAGGGGGTTCTCTCCAGGCGGCAGGGATTTTCTGAGCCCTGTTATGTAGGTACCAAGGGGCACTGGCTTCTCTCCAGCAAAATTTAAATCCTGTCACCTGTAATTCCTCAGCGACTGAACCCAACTTTTCTGGAAATTCAATACCACCACCACTGCCCATGATATGATTTCTAACCCATTCTGCTCAAATTTACTGAGCAACTACTATGTGCCAAGCATGCTGCTTGGTGCTAAGGACAGAAACACAGTAAAGAGAGCTCCATCCCCGGCCCCTGACACCAGGCCTGTGATGTAGTTCTCCATATGCATGTAGTAGTGGGACAGAGACATCAAGAGATAGGGCACTGCAGGGAAACACACACTGCAGGGGAGATTTCATGAGCCAGAGGTGTGCGGACCCCCATTAAGACCTAGGAGAGGGGGCATCGGAGCTGGACTTGAGGGTGCGCCAGTGCCAAGTGGGAGTGAGCTGAGTGGGTACCCAGGGGCATATGGGACAGAGACTTGGACCCCAGAGGGCTGAGGTCTCTAGGTAGACACAGAGCTGTGGGGCATCACTGCCAGGGCAGAAGAGAGGGGGATGAGGGCATCTGGAAGGGATCCAGGGCCTGGCAACTTCCAACCTCCAGGTTTCTGGGGACAGAGCATGCTCAGAGGACCAAGCCCAACTGACAGACCCTCTGTTACCAGCCAGGCTGGGACCCTAAGTGTGACATGGTAAAAGCCCCATAAAACTGCATACCTCAACCATACCTCGGCTTTCTGTTGAAACTGCTCTCTGTAACCCAAATGTGACAGGCAAGCAGTCAATTAAGGACTGTAATTTCCACCCTACCCAGACAATGTGTGAACAAATGCTAATCTTGACTTTTGTGAACCACTTAAGTAACCATCAGAATGTCAAAAGTCCCCTGGCCCTTGGAGTGTCCGGGACCCCTCACCCTCATCTTCGCCCAGGAGGTGATTTACAGAATCCACTAGCCCTCAGAACCTCTGAAGCCCCTCACCCCCACCCCTGCTCCTCACCCTCACTCCTGAGGTGGTTTTACGGGTATAAAAGGTCTTGACACCCTCCTTTCGGGGCTACGGGTTGGAGAGACTCGAGTCCTCCGTGGCCGCCGGCAATAAAGACCCTGCAATTTGGAACACTTTTGTCTTGGTGTTGACTTTCTATGCTCAGGCCAGTATAACACTAACCAAGGAGGAACCCTGAGGAGCTGCAGAGCCCAGCTTGACAGGAAGGGGAGGGTAGGAAACTCCTCCCACCTGTCTAGGGGTGGCCCAGGGGCTTCCTCAGGGACTGCCCCAGCCTAGGGGGGAGAGAGAGACAGAGACAGAGACAGAGACAGAGAGACATCTGCAAACACTTTGGGGTCTTCAGGCTGTGGTTGATGTGGGTGGGAATAGGAGGGGACGACCCAGGGAGAAACCTACAGATGGGGGGAGGGACCCCTGATTTCATTCTGGGGCCCAGAGAGCCACAAACACCGAAACTTGCATGTGGAGGTGAGGACAGGGCATGCTGGAGTGGGAAGCTAGCAAGCAAAACAAGATTCCGTCTTGTCTCCTTCCTTCCTTGCCCGTGGCTACAGTGCCCAAAATGTGTCTTTTGAAGAATGAATTAACATTGTATCTACTGAGAGATGAAAGGGACCTTAGGCTACACCATTTTCAATGCGCTGCAGGCGAAGCCCATGCACAGAATCTCAGTTTATTTTCAGGTCCCCTGAGAGGTAGGTAACATCCCTGTTTCCACTTGACAGATGGGGAAACTGAGGCTGGGGGTATAATCTCGCCCCTTGCCAGAGGTCACACAGCTGATAATTGGGGGAGCTGGATTTGATTCATTCCCTGAACCAGTTCTGTCAGGGCCTCTGGGGGCCACATGTGACGGGGTGGAGGTGGGGGCCTCTGAGGCTCCAAGTGTATCCCTCACCACCCAGGAGTGCTCAGAAGGCTTTGTCCCAGAAGGACCATTAGCACAGTTCCAACAGCCTTTTACAAAGTGCCTCCAAGAATGGAGGATCTCATTGTTCAAACCCAGCCCAACATTTTCCCAAAGTGGGTTCCACAGAAATATAACACCTTCCGCCCCAAAATGGATAAATTGCACTCGCAACAAACACCTTTGGAAAATGCTTCCTACCAAGCTCCCTCTTGGAGAAATACAGTACTGGTCAGCCTATTAAAGGCTCTGACAAGTCCTGCACTAAGAAAGTTGTTTGGGTAAACTCTCCTAGAAAGGAGAACTCCTTCACCTGCACCATGGGTAGAAATAAGTGCTCCTCCGATGTTATGGGAAGAAGGGATGCATGCGCATTCACCCCACTGCAGCCTCCTGAATGGGACGCCTGCAGGTAAGTTAATGTACAGCTAATGGGCCCCTGTCCCTTTTGAGGGGAACACGCCTTTCTGGCAGGTCCCCCAAAGCTGAGCACTACCAGCACGCACCTCCAGAGACTTGGCGTTTTTTTCCATCCACAGATTGACCAGCAGACTGCCTGGGCTGGTGAGGGCCCATCCTCCGTCTGGAGGGAAACGGGCCAAGTCCATGCATGGCACGGCTCAGCCGCACAGGCCTGCGTGTTTACGGGGCAGGCAGGAGATGGTAATGAGGCCAGCGAGAGCAGCAGGCTGACATGCTTAAAAACATTTCCACATTGAAAAAAGGCCTCGAGTCAGAAAGAACTGCTGGCTGGGTAATTCACTTAACAGAAGTGGAGCGGGTGGACAGGAAGATACCCAGGGAGCAGAGATGTTGAGTTAAAAGGCGCTAATTTTATGCACTGTGGTTAGGTTTTCTGACTGTAATTACATTTCAATCCATGTGGCAAACATTTCTGAGATTCCAAACATTTCCCCACCTTCTTCCCAGCGGGCATTTGTGCCGTCAAAAAGCTGGAGCCAGAGGAGAACACATCCAACCCCCTACCAAGAGCTTACCTTCTTCACCACGCTGAGCTTGTCCGGGGCGTGGTCGAACAGCGTGTCGAAGGCGTCCCGCTCTGAGGACATGCACAGAGACACAGAGGAGCAGTTATGGAGGCCCGCGGTGCTGCCCTAATCCTGGGCCCCCCAGGGACATGCCAGCTTCTGATCCCTGAGGAGGTTCAGCCCGAACTCCCACACCTGCCTAGAATCCTTCCAATTCCTGCCAGAATGAAAGAGCTGACCCAGACGATCAGTCCTAGCCAAACCAAGACCAGCATGCGCGCTTCGGCACAACCAGAACAGCATGGACTAGAGGCTGCAAAGGGTCCCTTCCACCTGCTCGTTACCTTTTCACATGAAACACATAGATGGCACCTGGCATCCGCCCCTGTCATGTCCTAGGACTTGAGGCGTCCTGAATTCTCCCTGTTCCCATACTCCTTGTCTACCACCAAATGGCACCTGTGTATTCAACCACATCCTCCGCGGCCGTGGCCCCACTGCTCACACATCACTGCTCCTTGCCTGGGAGCAGGTGCAGCCTCCTACTCCACTCCCGGCCCCTGATTCCTTCTTCCCAGCAGGCAGAGTGAGCCCTTCAAAGTGCAAATAGAATCATTTGTTCCCCCCTCCACTCCCACCACAACGAAAACCCTCCAACGACTTCTTATGCTTAGAATAAAATCCACCCTCTCTCCCATGGGCCATGGGACACTCAGATAAAATCCATCCTCTCTGTCATGGGCCATGGGACAGTCGGGCTCAGAGTCATCCTCCTACATGCACCCTCAGTGACTTCACCCACTAACCGGCCTCCCAGCTGCTCCTGACACTGGTGCGCACCTGCCTCAGAGCCTTTGCACCTGCTATCATGGAGTGAGGTCCCATAGGGGCATATAGGACAGAGATTTGGACCCCAGGCAGAGGGCTGAGGTCTCTAGGTAGACACAGAACTGTGGGGTGTCACTGCCAGGGCAGAAGAGAGGAGGACGAGGGCATCTGGAAGGGATGCAGGGCCTGGCAACTTCCATCCTCTAGGTTCCTGGGGACAGAGCATGCCCAGAGGACTGAGCCCAACAGAGAGACCCTCTGTTATCAGCCAGGCTGGGACCACAACCAAGGAGGAGCCCTGGGGAGCTGCAGAGCCCAGCTTGACAGGAAGGGGTGGGTAGGAAGCTCCTCCTGCCTGTCTAGGGGTGGCCCAGGGGCCTCCTCAGGGACCAGACTGGCCTAGGGGAGAGAGAATAGGGGTGGGGGGGAGAGAGAGAGAAACAGAGACAGAGAAAGCCCAGAAAGAGAAGAAGAAGGAAGGGATTAGGCCCAGGTAAGCCAGAGGCCCAGGGAGAGAAGCCCAGAGGAAGCACGCTGGCCCCTTCCTTCCAGGCCGGGCTGCCCAGGAGGCAGCTCACAGACCCCTGCCCAGCCCAGCCCAGGTAGCCTCTTCCTTGGCCTTGTGGAGGTGGTGAGAAACAAGGTGGAAAGGAAAGAAGGAAAGTGTGTGTGAACACGTGTGTACACATGTGTATGTGTGTGCATGTGCATTCTTGGGGGGAGGGGAGGGAAGTTTTCTTCACCTAAAGACTGACACTGACCAAAATGCCCCAGCCTCTGGACAGCTGCCGGCTTTCTAATGCAGCAGCTGTAAAGTATTTTTATAATCATCTAAGTCAGAGCACACTCAATAAGACAGTCGGCTAAGGGGACAAAAAAAAAGTGAAATCTTTACAAAGGAGCACGCAAACTATAAATGCAGCTTAAGAAAAACCCCAGGAGCAGAAGAGTGCTTGACGTCAGCCAGGGTATATTTAGCTGGGCCACCGCTGGGCTGGCAGAGTCAAGCCACTCAGGGAGGCATCTGTGCCGCAGAGGCCTCTCTGCCGGCCGCTGTGCCCCTGGACCTGGGGGACTGGCGTCATGTCACACAGTCCACACAGCAGGGAGGGACCCCCGGGCACTAGGGGCCAGGCACAGGACCCAGGGCCGCCAAATTCCATCCTCCAGGTTCCTGGGGGTACAGCATGCTCAGAAGACCGAGACCAGCAGGGAGACCCTCTGTTACCAGCCAGGCTGGGATCCCAACCCAAGGAGCAGCCCTGGTTGACAGGAACCCAGCTTGACAGGAAGAGGGTGGGGTAGGAAGCTCCTCCCACCTGTCTAGGCGTGGCCCAGGGGCCTCCTCAGGGACCACTGTCACCTAGCAGAGAGAGAGGGATGGGGAGGGGAATGGAGGGAAGAGGGGTGAGGGGGAGGGGGAGGGGGGATGGGGGTGGAGAGAGAGAGCGAGCGAGCGCATACTATACTGCTGTGATGTGCCTGGCCTTGGGAACAAAACTAGATGCAGATCCTAGCTGCCTGACTTCACAACCCATGACCTTGGGCAAATCCTCCCCTCTCCAGCCCCATTTCTTCCTCCATAAAGTTGGCGTTCTGATGGCCCCTGCCTCGCCCTTGGTGTGGAAGGAAGTGGGGCAGTGAGTAGAGGCAGGAGCGCAGTGCCTGGCAGGAGCGATGTTGGCAGTCAGTCCTTACAGCTCCCTCTCGTCCTGTCCCCCAGAGCCTCCGCAGGCTCTGGAGACACCACAGAGATAAACAAGGAGCAGCCCTGTCTTGGGAGAGGCACAGACTCGGGGGAGGGGCTGGAGAGGGAGTAAACTCTGCTAGTGCAATCCTCTTAGTGTCAGAAAAGAGGAATCCAGGCAGGGGCCAGCCAACCCAAGCAGGCCGGGTCTGCCCAAGTTCAACCTGCAAGAACGCTCAGCTTGGTCCCTGGAATGTTGATTTGAGTCAACAGTTTTTGTTTTTGTTTTGGTTTGGTTTTGATTTTTGGCTTTTTAAGACAGAGTCTCACTCTGTCGCCCAGGCTTGAGTGCAGTGGTGCAATCTTGGTTCACTGCAACCTCTGCCTCCTGAGTTCAAGTGATTCTCCTGGCTCAGCCTCCTGAGTAGCTGGGATTACAGGCACGCAACACCACGCCAGGCTAATTTTGGTATTTTTAGTAGAGATGGGGTTTTGCCATGTTGGTCAGGCTGGTCTTGAACTCCTGACCTCAAGTGATCCACCCGCCTCAGCCTCCCAAAGCACTGGGATTTCAGGCATGAGCCACGGTGCCCAGCCAGAGTCAGCAGCTCCTAAATGGGAAGGTCTGTCCAAACGTTCTGAACTTCTGGCATCTTGAAGAACTGGAGGCTTTGGCGACAGTGAGCCTGCACTCACACCTGGCAGCAGGGAGCAGCCCTGGGGATGGGGGTGTGGACTCTGCAGTGTGCCCCAGACCCCACCACTCCCCACCACCACCCAGCTGGGGTGAAGGGGCAGCTGGCGTTATCACTGCACAATCTAGCCACTTTCCTCTTTTATATTATCAGCCTGGTCCCTGGAGGCACCTGAATCTGAACCAAGGGCCAGCGGACCTGAATAAGGCTTCACAAGGCAGCCCTGGGGTTCAAGCCCGGCTTGCTGGAGCAAGAGGAGGAAGAAAGGTCCTTCACTGAGTGAGCAGCAGGCACAAGGAGAGATGCCAGAAAGCCCAGAGCAGGTTCAAGAGCCGGGTAGCCTGTGAGAGGTGTGAACAGGGGCTGCGGCCAGCAGCGTGGGAGTGACGGAGGGCACGGTCAGGAGCCAGGGGTCCCGGGGTGGAGCTAGCGCTTCTGGAACAAGCTCTGTTGGCAGAAATGGGAGGGATGTGAAGGGGAACGACTAGGAGTTACAATGAAGGGGAAGAGGGTGAGGAAGGCATGTCCCCCTCTCTCCCCTCCAACCCAGGGCAGGCTCAGGAGGGGGAAGGGCGGCCAGCGGAGAAGCCACAGCAGCTGGCCCGTTGCCATGGAGACCAGGCTGCAACTTCCTTGGCTCCCCTGAGACTTGTTTCCATGGAGAGAAGCCTCCTCTCCCACCTCGGCCAGGGCAGTGATGCCATCAAGAGGCAGTGAGGATCTGTGGAACCACCGCTCTTGCCAGAATGATGGGGAGTGGGCAGAGCAGAGCCCCTGGCTCAGGGTGCTTGTGGGGAAACTGAGGCCCAGAAGATCGCTTCTGGCAAAGCTCAGCACATGAGCCAAGGACGGTCTGCCCGGCCTTCCAGACGCTCCCAGAACATCTGGTACCAGCTGCAGGGCAGACTGGCCAGGCTGGCTGCTTTGATGGGGTGGGGTGAAGGGGCGGCCTGAGGAAGGGTCAGCTCCAGCCCACAGGGCACCTCTCGGGTCAAGGAGCCGTGTGTGAAGGGAGAAAAGCAGGGGCTCTGGGTGCTCCTGAAAGTTTGCCGACACCAGTGTCTGCCAGGCATGTGCAGGCTTCGTTGTGTAAACACTGGCGCAGAAAAGAAGAGCCAGGTCATCACCTGAGCAGAGTGCTGCTTGGTTCATCACATGACTACAGAAATAACTAAGGCGTGGCGGGGGGCGGGGTGGGGGGACAGCCAGCAGAGGGCAGTTTAGGGCAGTGGAGTCAGAGAGGGCCTCCCTGATCAGTGACATTTGAACCAAGAGCTGGCAGAGCTGAAGGAGTGAGCCATGGGGTAATCCAGAGGGAGAGCATTCAGGTGGAGGTTGCTGGAGGAGAGAGCACCCCAGGGTACTCTTGGGGGCTGGAGGAGGCAAGTGGCATGACAAGGAAGAAAAGACAAGGCATGCTGCTGCCCCCATGGGAGCACGTGCCGGGCCAGAAGCCCTGCTGCGCCTGAGGGTGGCAGGCTGGGTAACCAGGAGACTTCGGAGCCTGCGTCAGCAGAAACAGCAAGCCCGGGGGCAGAACTAATTGCCTGTCATCGACTAATAGTCTGTTTGCACTTTCTCAAGCACAGAGCATAAAGCCCAGAACAGAATGAGAACTCCATCGGCCTCTTGTGCAAATTGCTCTTGTGATCCCACGGTCCCGACGCCCCGGAGAGGCAGCTGGGTCCACTGTTCACATGTGACACCTGGCTCTTACCTAGGGAGCCACTGCCCTGCACATCAGACCCTAAAGCTCATTCCTAGGGTGGCAGGGGCTCCGGAGCCAGGCTTCCGGGCCCTCGGGCCACACAGGGTGCTACACACAGCCCAAGGCCCGTGTGCCCCCAACTTAATGGTCTAGGCTGTCTTTTTCCTAAATCTCCAATGAGGCCCATACCCAATGCAGAAGTGACAGCGCCACAGAAAGCCAAAAACACTCAAAATGCTTGATGCGCCCACACTCCTCATCTCTAGGCCTCTACAATTCCAAAGGGGTGCCAAGCCTCCTCTGGGAAGAAAGGGTGGAGAGGAGGTAACGGGGGTCACTGTGCCCCCAAAGTGTGCCTATACCTAGACACAGGGTGGGGAGACACCCCCCTCCGGCCCCATAAGCTGTGGCCCCACTGCAGTTTCGCCTTCCTCGGCAACTATACACAGGAGGTTTCTCTTTATTGACCTTTGTTTTATTATAATAGAGACGTTTTAAAAGAGCTGAAAATCTCCTTAAAAAAAAAAAAGTGAAGGCCTGTGAATGTTCCCAGCACAGCTGAAGGGAAGCAAAGGAAGCCTCGAGGACAGATCCTCACTGCACCTCCTCAGTTCAAGCCCCGTGGGATCTGAGCCCCTTCCCCTCACCATACTGAGTGTTAATACTGATTGGATTGAAGGATCCAGGGTGTGGTCCCTGGGTGTGTCTGTGAGGGTGTTGCCAAAGGAGACTGACATTTGAGTCAGTGGCTGGGAGAGGCAGCCCAGCCTTAATCTGGGTGGGCACCATCTAATCAGCTGCCAGAGCAGCCAGAACAAAAAGCAGACTGCAGAGCATGAAAGGCCAGACGGGCCTCGCTTCCCAGGCTTCATCTTCCTCCCATGCTGCATGCTTCTTGAACATCAGACTCTATGTTCCTCAGCTCTGGGGTTTGGACTGGCTTCCTTGCTCCCTCAGCCTGTAGACGGCCTATTGTGGGACCTTGTGATGGTATGAGCTAATATCCTTAATAAACTCCCCTTAATATATGTATCTGTCCTATTGCTTCTGTCCCTCTAGAGAACTCTCATACTATAGGTAAGCAGTGATGGCATCCTAGCTGGTCCCCATAATTACTTCGAGGTTATAGAGCCCCATGGCTGAGCTGGCCCAGCCCTCAATGTGTAGGACTTAGGGGCTGGCACCCCCAGCCGGAGGACCCCAAAGGGACTGACATCAGCTCCGGGCTGGCAGGCTGGAGAGGCAGACGGGAAATTTCTATTTGAATTTCATTTTTCCTCTTAAGAACTGTTCTCCCCTCCCTGCTCACTGGAGAACATGGTATTTGGGGGTCAAGGGTTTCTCTTTTGAAATGCTCCCCAAAGCAGGGAGCCTGGCCAGGCCGAGGGCTGGGGTATCCTGGTTCTGAGGGTTGAAATGTTGCCATCCCTTGCTGAGATGAAGATGGGGTCTCAGGCTTTAGTTGGGGGGGAAGAGAGAGTAATTGGGAACAGCCACTGAAAACAACACTAATAAAACCACCCCACATAGAGGACTGCCCCCTGGCCAAGCAGGGAACTCACCTGTGATCTCACCCAATCTTCACAGCAGCCCTGCTCAGGGAGAGCCTTTTACACTCCCATTTCACAGACGAGAAGCAGAAAGAGGAAAGGGGAGGCCACAGGCCAGCAGCCAGAACTGAGCCCCGGCTGCCTGACTCTAAGGAAGGCTGCTAAACCAGCAGTTTCCAGGAGGAAATAATACATACGGAAGGACATCCAGAGGTGAGCCATTCTCTCCCAGCCAGTTAATGATGCGCCATATACCAGCCGCCTCTCCTCCCTCCCCTTTACCCTTGACCGCTCCTGCCCCAGCCCTGGACAGTTCCCACCAGTGACGTCCTAGGCCCCTCCCACTCCCCTGGCTAGCCACCCAGCCTTCCACCCCACTCTTTTTTTTTTTAAGACAGAGTCTCGCTCAGACTGGAGCACAGACTGGAGCACAATGGCACGGTCTCGGCTCACTACAACCTCTGCCTCCTGAGTTCAAGCAATTCTGCCTCAGCCTCCCAAGTTGCTGAGATTACAGGCACCTGCCACCACACCTGGCTAATTTTTGTATTTTTTAGTAGATAACGGGGTTTCACCATATTAGTCAGGCTGGTCTTGAACTCCTGTCCTCAGGTGATCCAACTACCTCGGCCTCTCAAAGTGCTGGGATTACAGGTGTGAGTCACTGTGCCTGGCCGCATGTGATTCTACCTAGCACCACCCAGCCCCTCTCGGCTCTGAGAAACAAGCCCACTATACCGAAAGGTAGGGGCAGACAGCGTACTTTCTCTAGGATTACAGAACTACAGGGGCAGTGAGACCCATCCAGCTTCCCACTCCCCCCAAATGACCATGTACACTCTCGGGGAGCTTCCTGGGGCAGCCCTACACACCTCCGTCTCCCCACTTTCCCCGGGGTTACTTACCAAACCGGCCCATCATCATCCTACAAACAAGAGCACAGAGAAAGGCGTCAGATGGGTCGCTGAGAATGCAGTTTCACAAGCAGCACGTGAAGGGTGAGGGCCAGGCCAGCCAGAAAGCCAGGCCCCTCGCTGCCCATGTGAAGGCCTACTGATAATGCAGGTCACACCGTGCTACGTTCTGGCCCGCTCTAATTATAAATCAGAGGTGCTTCTGTGGATTATTCACGTCTGCACAAGATCAGCAGCAAATCACCATCTCTCTTTGCGCATTAACCATGCCATGAATGCCTTTTGGAGGGGAGGTACTTAAATCAAGACAGTGGTTAGTTAACCTGAAGATTTCAGCAGATAATAGGGCTTCCAGCGGCCGTGGAAGACTCAAAACACAGGCTGGGCCAGGCACAGTGGATCACGCCTGTAATCCCAGCATTTGGGATGCAGAGGCAGATGGATCATTTGAGGTCAGGAGCTCAAGATCAGCCTGGCCAAAATGGCAAAACCCCGTCTCTATTAAAAATGCAAAAATTAGCCGGCTGTGGTGTCAGGTGCCTGTAATCCCAGCTACCTGGGAGGCTGAGGCAGGAGAATCACCTGAACCCAGGAGGTGGAGGTTGCAGTGAGCCGAGACAGCCATTGCACTCCAGCCTGGGCAATGAGAGTAAAACTCCGTTGCAAAAACAAACAAGCAAACAAAAACCCAAGGCTGGAGACAAGCCTGGCCATTGTGGCGAAACCCCCTCTAAGAAAAGCACAAAGAAATTAGCTGGGTATAATGGCATGGGCTGTGGTCCAAGCTACTCGGGAGCTGAGGTGGGAGGATCGCTTGAGCCTGGGAGGTCGAAGCTGCAGTGGGCTGCGATCGCACCACTGCACTCCAGCCTGGGCAACAGAGCAAGACTCTCTCAAAAAAAAAAATAAATAAACACACAAGGTTGCTGGTTACCCAAGTATTATGTTTCCAGGATAAACACAATGTACTTGCAGGATTCAGGGAATTAAAGGATTCTGGGGAACCACGAGGCCGGGCCCTGGTCTCAGGCAGCGGGCAGTGAAAGCAGTGAGGAAGATGGGGGCGGTGAACATCTTCTCAAAGATTCCCAGCGCGTGAGTGCCCAGAGCCTTTCCACGCCCTGCCTTCCTGAGAGGCAAGAAGTCTTTGCGTTGTCCCCAAATCCCTCCAGACTCAAGTCCTTTGGCTCCATCTTATTTAAAAAGCACTTGCTTGAGCACCTACTATGTGCAGGCCGTGCAGATAACAGAAATTAATATACCCTGGAGATAAATACTGGCCCTGCCCTCGGGGTGGCCGGGAGTGAGAGACCTCCTAAGTCAATATTTCACGTGTGTCCAGAGGCTATGGGAACTAACAGGAAGCCAAGCACTCCTGCTTGGCAGATAGGAGGGCTTCCTGGAGGTGGTGACCTTGTAGCTGCCACTAGAAAGAGAAAGGAGAACACTCAGACTAGATGGGAGGTGGTGATGCTGCCTTAGGAAACTGAACATGGATCTTTGGGCCGCTGGTTTTCAGCAGACATCCCATGATTCAGATGCTCCATCAGAGCCTCTGTGGCCACAGGGAGGGGCAGGAACAGGTGACTAGGATGGCGTGATGAGCCCTGAGGAGGACCCACCTGGGGCATCAGCCTGGAGAGGAGATACCAGCCTTGCCCCTACCCCTGCCCTGGCTTGCAGAGGGAAGCTGACTCCAGCTAGAAAACCCCAACTCCCTTTCTTGCTGCTCAGGGCCACCTGGAATCTGGTTGAGGTGGTTTCCACTGGAATTTCCCCTGCCCTGACTTTGGGGCACTCCTCTCCTCCAGGAAATTCCCTTAGGCCCTGAGGCACTTCCCACAAGCCCCCTGTGCTGGACTGTACATGTCTTTGGACGCGTCCTTTCTAGCCAGCAGGACGCACTGGAGGAGAGGGACCATGCTCAGCCCACCTCTCCATGTCTCTGTGGACCCAGCAGGGAGCCTGGCATGCAGCAGGTCCTCAGGACCAGTTACTGCTGGTGAATACCTGAGGCTATTCTCCCAACCACTTGCTCATTCTCTGTCTCTGGACCATTCTGGTTTTACTTGGGATGACTGTGGGGGCCCCAGCTCCTCCTTGCTGCCCTCATATGGGAACCCCCTCACCTGGAAGGGCACTCTTATCACAGCGTGTCCACCTCCAACAATGTGCCTAGGCCATTCCTGCACAAGAAGGCAGAGTCTGTTTCCCGCACCTTGATCCAGCATGGCCTATGACTCACTTTGACTCACAGAATTGAGGACATGGGTATGGATGTCTGAGACAAGGCCTCAAGGGGCCTGCAGCTGTACTCTCACTCTCTCAGGACCCTGAGGGCACTCTGGGAAGATGTCTAGCTCCATGAGGAGGAAAGAGACCCAGGGGAGGCAAAAACCAACCGCCAGAGGTAGGGGGAGGCCGAGAAGCCTCCCCAGCCTCCATCCAGCCTTCAGGTGTCTGTATCACATGAGCAACCCCAGGTGAGACTGGCTGAAGAACCACCCAGCTGAGCCCAGCCCAGAGTGCTGACCCACAGAATTGTGAGCAGCAAATGAAACAGATGTTTTAAGCCACTCAGCTTCGGGGGTGATTTGTTACACAACAATAAACAGTAAGACACCAGCCCAATCCCAGTTCCTTACAAGCAGCCCTTCTCCTACCACTGAACAGGCAGAGCTGCTGCCAAAGGCCCACTGTGCCGGGCACAGAACCACATTCTCACCCTCCCCTCCTCCAGCTCTTCCTGTTCCCTTCCTGGGCCTGGGGCAGCCTGGAAGGCCTCTTTGCCGGCCTCCGCACAGGTGTCAGCCTGCACTCCACCATCCCATCATATTCCCTGACAGCTTGCAAGCCACGAGTGGTTTCCTGTGTTAGCTCCAATTTTTGAAATACCATCCATGAATTCACAACACAGTAATTAATCACTCTGTGAACTGAGCTGATGAATTAGCTGAGACAATCGATTTTTAAATGTTCTGTTTCATCTGAAACAGGTTTAGTCAAGAGGCACAAATGCAGTGAATTCTAAAGATCCTTAACAGGTTATCACAAGGGGTCCTTAAAACCACACACCACAGATATTGTTTGATTTGCTATTTTCAATAGACTTCTGAACACCTGCCCCCTGGCTTTCTCCCGGAGATAAGAGATGGCTTAGCTGTGTCTGTCAAAGGAAAGTTCTGATTTAAACATGCAGCTCCCACCTCTGACAGGGCTAATGCAGACAAATAAACGAACGGAGACAATGGGTCTCTAACCGTCCTGAACTCTCACTCTGCCTGCCCCACCCTGAACATTCTTAAAGCTCACCTTTTAAGATAAGGAATGAAAAATTCAAAGGCTGTGGAAGGCAACTCAGTTCTAATGTTAAAAGCTCTGAAGAAAGTGTGCAGAGGGAGGCAAGCTGGGGTAGGAAGCAGCATGAGAATCACATGCTAAAGTGAAGGGGGCACGGACCAGGAGCAGCCCCACGTGCGCTGGTGTCCCTGGCTGACGTGGCAGCCTGGGGCCCAGCTTGCTCGGAGCAGCATGGCCTGGAAGGGCAAGGCAGTGGTCCACTTACTCTGTGGCTGTGGTCAGCTCCTCCGAGATGTGGCTGGAATGCAACAGGCCTTCCCGCTTCTGAAAACCCCAGCATAAACAAACACAAAATCAGGCAGTGGAGAGATGAGGAAGGATACACCCACAGGGCAGATGAAGCTGCGGGGCCGGAGACCCTCTTGGAAGAGAGCCATGGAGAAGGAAGGGTGGTGCTGAACATGCATGCCAGGCCTTGGTCGGGCACAGCAGGGGACCCTGGGCAGGGTGCCTTTCAGTGGCCACAACCTGTCCCCATTCTCCTCCCCACCCTCTGGTCTCCCCATGGCCCTGGGAGCTGGCATTTGGGTAGGTCTCAGGAGAAACACCCCAGGTCAGGAGTCCCCAAAGGGATCCTCTATGCTTTGCAGCCAGGAGAGATGAGGCTCGCAATTGGAGGGAACATAAGTAACAGAATACACCCCCTGCTGCCATGTGTGTGCACAGGACTGAAGAGGGTCCCCCAAAGTTCATATACACCATGCACTTCAGCACGTGACCTCATTTGGAAATAAGAGTCTTTTCAGATACCAGCTCAGATGAGGCTGCAATGAATTATGGTGAGCCCCAGCTTAATCCAGTATGACTCACATTCTTATTAGAAGGAGAAATAGACACAGAAACAGAGACAGGAGGCCACATGATGACAGACACAGAGACTAGAGAGATGCTGCCACAAGCCAAGAACACCAAGGACCGATGGGTACCACAGAAGCTGGAGGAGGCACGAAGACCCCTGTCCTAGAGGAGGCGGCATGAGAAAGGACACACTACTCTGATGACATCTTTATTTCAGACTTCTGGCCTCCAAAATTGCAAGAGAACAAATGCCTGCTGTTTTAAGCCACCTGGTTTGTGGCACTTTGTTACCACTGCCCTAGGAAACTGACACAGTACAGGTCACACTTCTCCCAGAGCATGACAGGTATAAAAAAGCAATAATGGTGGCAAGTGGGGGCATGGCAGTGGTGACAGTGGGGGTGGCAGCCCACCTCTCACGGGAGCTCCAGGTAGAGCTGGGTGGCTGATCCAACCACCGCTGAACCCCTCAAGGGACCGGGAACTCATTTCCCACTGGGTCAGCCCACTGTGGACATCACCAAGACCTGAGCTTCCATCCCTTTCCGGAGCTTGGCCTCAGGCAAACATTCAGAGATGGTGCTGGTTATGGAACAAGTCTGTGGGCAACACTTAACCTGATTCTCAGGAGGGTCTGCCAAGGAAGGTCCAGAGAAATCGTATTCACTTAGTCACGGACCAGACATGCATGAGGCACCCACCCACCAGGTACTGGGCCCAGGTCTAGGGACTGGAGACATGAAGCTGGATGTTTTAACGGTTTGTAGTAAAATTTGATTTTATGGGGGAAGCACTGGAGCTCAGCAGAGCCAAGTGTTGGAAATAGATGCTTGGTGGCGCTAGCCATCTTGCCACGACAGTACAATGAGCAAAGGAAAACAGACACATTTATTCCTTACACATCTGGGGTTGTCCTCACAGCTGTGTCTGATCTCTGTCGGCTGGAGCCAGGCCTCACAATCTAAACTAAAACCCGAGAGTGCCCTTGCTGCAGTCCCGAAAGTAAAAACTGCATTGCCTTTTTTCCCAGGTGCTCGGTCCTGGGAAGGTGAGGCTTTATTTATAAGTTCCTGACATGGTGCTGCCTTTTTTTTCAGAGCTGCCCTGCCCAGCAAGGAGTTAGCCAAGTCACAGTCTGCCAGCAGAGGTGTTGCTGAGCTGCTGCGGACTCTGTTCAGCTGTTGTGTGAACTTCCTTGCAGTTTTGTCTATAGGGGTATAGTTAGAACTGCCTGGGTAATTGCAGTTGGCCTCCGTAATGGTGGACTGCCTCTCTAATGGCAGACTGCCTCAGTAATGGCAGATTGCCTCGGTAATGGCAGACTGCCTCGGTAGTGGCCGACTGCCTTGGTAGTGGCAGACTGCCTTGGTAGTGGCCGACTGCCTTGGTAGTGGCAGACTGCCTCAGTAGTGGTGGACTGCCTTGGTAATGGTGGATGCCCATCCCCCAGTAGCGCTGGACCAACCTGGGTCCAGCTGCACTTGCTGCAAAATTCTCAGTCCAGAGTGCTTCAGATTGCTGGGCTTTGTGGGGGTGGGACCCACCGAGCCAGATCACCTGGCTCCCTGTTTCAGCCCCCATTTTTTCAGTTGAAGGGGTGGCTCTGTTTCCTGGCATTCCAGAAGCCAGTTGAAAGGGCTGCCCAGATTTGCGTGAGTTTTTGTGTGGAGACCCACTGCGCCGGCTGAAATAGCCACGTTGGAAACTCATGGCATTTTTCCACCTGGGAATCTCCTGGTCTGTGGGCAGCAATAACTTGTTTGGAAATGCAGTGTTCACTCACCCTCTGCATTGTTCTCCCTGGGAACTGCACTCCAGAGCTGTTCCTATTCAGCCATCCTGGATCTGCCCCCTTTATTTATTCATTTTAAGACAAGTTATTGCTCTGTCACCCAGGCTAGAGTGCAGTGGTGCGATCACGGCTCACTATAGCCTCTACATCCTCAGACTCAAGCAATCCTCCCACCTCAGCCGCCAAGTAGCTGGAACCACTGGTGCATGACCATACGTCTAACTAATTTTCTTTGTATGTTTTTGTAAGGACAGGCTTTGCCATGTTGCTCAGACTGGTCTTGAACTCCTGGACTCTAGCAATCCACCCACCTCGGCCTCCCAACATGCTGGGATTATAGGTGTGAGCCACCATGCCTAGCCTAAGCATGCATTTTAAAACCAGAAATCATCTATTGCTTCATCTTATTTTCCATAATTATTTTCCCTTTGCCTTAATTTTTACTAAACTGTCTTTCTCATGTGTATTTTGAAATGTCTCAGGGCTAACTTTTCTTTGCAGCCCTGAGCATCTATTTCCAACAGCCATTTCTAACAGCAGATGATCAGCCCAAAGCCACATGGCCAGGCAGCAGATAAGGCCCTTCCCTTCCTTCCTTCCCCCTAGGAAATGCCACACCCCTTGCATTGCCCTGTCTTGAGTTCAATAAGGGGTCCCCTGAGGAAGCTCAGAGGGGGCTGCAGGAAAGACAGAAGGCAGGTCCAAGGTCTGGGGAGTAATGGCACCCAGTTAACAGGACCCCTGGGTCCCTGCTTTATTCCACTCTGATGGTCCAAACACTTCTCTAACCCCAGTTATGGCAGGAAGCACCACAAGTGCTCGCCTGGTTCAAACTTGCTGCAAACCCCAAAGATTATCTTGGCCCCAAGTGCAAGGCTGAAAGGAAATACTGGGGTTTTGGAGGCTGCACAGGGCCCCTGGGGCCCCAGGCTGACGTAGGTGGGGTTGGGAACCACATCCCCATGTACCCTAGGGAAGCCTTTCCAGGACGGCTGCCTGTGAACCCGTGGCCAAGACAAGGGGAATAGGAATGGACCCCGAGGTCCTGAGTCACCACCACCGACCACAAACATCCGCCTTAGGAAGGAAAATCACGGCAACATGAGGCGGCCCTCGCCTGATGCCAGAGGTGGGCATTCCCGTCAGGTCAAGACCGAGCTACCAGGGTGACAGAGGGGTCAGAATGGGATCGGAAAACACGGCCGCAGCCAGGTCCTTCCGGACCACAGAGACCACAGGACTGAGAAGTTTAATAGCCAGAGGAAAGTGGAGCCAGATGTCTCAAGTCAAATAAACACAGAGGCATCCAAGTTTCCAGCGTGACCTCGACTCTGGCAGCAGTGGATGTCCCGCAGACCCCAGGCGTGTGTTTCCTGCAGACCCCAGGCGTGTGTTTCTCCTTTACTGCCTTGGCAGCCTATGCTGAGTGCTTGGAGGACAGCAGATGCTCAGTGCACATTTACTGAGGGAAACTGCACACACGTACCCTATACAGCAACTGTCCACTTAAATGTAAGGGAAACAAGGCCAGGCACGGCAGCTCCTGCCTATCATCACGGCACTTTTGGAGGATCGCTTGAGCCCAGGAGTTTGAGACCAGCCTGGGCAACATAGCGAGACTCTATCTCCACAAAATTTAAAATTAGCTGGGTGTGGTGGCCTGTGCCTGTAGTCCTAGCTACTTGGGAGGCTGAGGTGGGAGGATCGCTTGAGCCCAAGAGGTTGAGGCTGCAGTCACCTGTGACTGTACCATGGTACTCCAGCCTGGGTGACAGAGTGAAACCCTGTCTCAAAAAATAAAATAAAATAAAAAACAGCCGGGCGCGGTAGCTCACACCTGTAACCCCAGTACTTTGGGAGGCTGAGGCGGGTGAATCACGAGTTTAGGAGTTCAAAACCAGCCTGACCAACATGGTGAAACCCCATCTCTACTGAAAATGCAAAAATTAGCTGGGCGTGGTGGTGGGCACCTGTAATCTCAGCTACTCAGGAGGCTGAGGCAGGAGAATCCGTTGAACCTGGGAGGCGGAGGTTGCAGCAAGCCGAAATTGTGCCATTGCACTCCAACCTGGGCTACAGAGCAAGACTCTGTCTCAAAAATAAGTAAGTAAATAAAAAAATATATACACATAAAAGAAACAGCAAGAGAAAGGTGACTCTACCTCACCCTCTGTTAGAGGGACCTGGGTCCTGGTTCCATTTCTCCAAATGAATCAAGAGAAATGAACCCAAAAAAGAGATGATGGGGCATGATGAACAATCCCCGGCAAATGCAAAGCGGCTTTAATTTGGGTGTCTGTTTCATCCCGCGGGGCCAACCTCCTCCAATGAGTAATAAGCACATTCAAGGGGATTGAATTCCAACCAGTTGCCTTTGGAGAGAAATGAATGTTCTTTTCAAAAATGTGGAAAATTAAACCTCAACACCCTCATGCCTCTGCCTCTCATCAAATCAATGCCATTGTTCCCATTCTAATCATTTATCTCAGAGCCAGGGTGAGACGCACATGTTGTCAAAAGGGAAAAACAGAAGGTAGCCTCTTGTGGGGAGGGGGGAAACGATGGGGAGGGCAGGGAAACAGCAGGAGGAAGAAGACCTTGCCTCTCTGGCGGTGTTCCAGGCAGGCTGACCGCTCGGTTATACTCACCCGCACAACCACCACCTGCACAGTCACATGCTCAGGAAGGCGGATGGGGGCCCTGAAGTGCATGGCCAGAGAGACTAGCAGGTGCAGGATGGCCACCAGGTTCTTCCCGTGAATTGCTGTGGGAGGGAGGAGGAAGAGAGAAGGAAGGGAGATGCTTTAGATCGGGTTAGACAGGAACCTGAGCCCACACACAGAAGGCAACAGAGACACGCAGCATCTAAATGAGACCCCAGCGAGGCAAAGACGGATCGAAGTGTGGACGAATGGAGACAGCTGACGTACGACCTGGGTGAATCCATTTCTACTTTCAATGCCTCCTTTCCTCTTGGCCTAAGGTGACCTGTGCAACCACTTTTAGAAGCACAATTTTGCTCTTAAAAGCAACAAATTGGGCAGGGATGAGGAGAAGGAAGGAACAGCATGGTAAAATTAGCACAAAAGGGAAAAGATCACGGGAAGCAGGTCACGGCCGTTTACCCCTTCACAAGGATGCATGTTATTCTCTCTGGTGCTGAAAAAAGGCTCTCTATGCAATAAACCATCCCAACTAGGGTAGCCTGCCAAGGGCAAATGTGGCTCTGGGGACGTTAGACATGAGCCGTGCCATGCCTGAGTCCCTCCTCTCTCTTCCTCAGCACGCAGACTCAGCTTTGGTCATCACCACCACTTCTCCTGTACAGGGCTTTAGAGCTTACAAGGCACCCGATTCCCCACCCACAGGCCCAGCAATCCACGAGCAGCCTGGGTCTGCCCAAAGTCCCAGGGCCAGGCTCCAGGGCCTCCTGCCCACTGCTGAGGGCTCAGCTCACCTAAGCACAGAGACCTCTGGCCCAGCACAGAGAGTCCTGAAGCCACACCCTGAGAGCCTTGCTTCAAGGGAAAGGAGGTGGGGAAGGAGTGGGCAGGACCAAGGAGAACTTTCCACCTTCTTCTGGCTGTCTTTCACCCAGGTTCATGTCTTCTCTGGGAGACACCGTGATGTCACCCCTCCTAATGCCAGCCCGCTCTGGGACACATTCCAGAGGGTCACAGGCAAACAGCCCACTGGGTGACATTGCCACCAGTATTTGGGATTGAGTCCCAACAAGAACCCCTCAAGGCTGCTTCTCTCTCTGGAAGTCCCTCTGATCCACCCAGCCAGAAACAATGCCTCTCTCCTCTGCAGCCTGGGGTGGATGGAGAATTGCGGCCTGACCAGGTCCCTTTCCAAGGAGCTCCCTAACCCTACTCCTGTTCTCTCCCCTGCAATGTTACCTCTCACAGAGCAGGGAGATGAACCCAATTTTAAGATGCAAGGCCAGATGGGATGATGATGAATGTGGATGATAAATGCGGATGACGAATGTCGAAAGGACAGGCTCCCTCCAGACGCTCCCACCCCCCCACCCCCACCCCCGCCCCATGGCATGGAACTCACAGTCCACACTCCACCGGAGCGCCCAGCCGCGAGGTCGCAGCAGGTCATGTACTGCTTCCAGCACCGTCTGCAGCTTCTGTTTCTGCCCTATTTCCGACTGTGTCACCTCAGTCACATTCAGTTTGCATCCTGCCAGTTTTTCTGCAATGAGAAGGACAAGCGGAAAGGGTCAGAAAATGCTGGAAGGGCCAGCATTTCACCTGAGGGCAGAAGTTCAAGACCAGCCTGACCAATATGGTAAAATCCCATCTCTACTAAAAATACAAAAATTAGCTGGGTGTGCTGGGGCACACCTGTAATCCCAGCTACTTGGGAGGCTGAGGCAGGAGAATCAGTTGAATCCACAAGGCGGAGGTTGCAGTGAGCCGAAATTGTGCCACTACACTCCAGCCTAGGCAATAGAGTGAGACCCTGTCAAGAAAGAAGAAAGGAAGGAAGGAAGGGAGAGAGGGAGGGAGGGAGGGGAGGGGGGAAGGAGGGAGGGGAGGGGGGAAAGAGGGAGGGGTGGGGGAAAGGAGGGAGGGGTGGGGGAGGGAGGAAGAAAGGGAGGATGGGAGGGAGGATGGGAGGGAGGAGGGGAAGAAGGGAAGGATCTAGCTGGAGGAACTCAGAACCACCAGGACCCCGGCTGCAAGGAGGTCCCTGAAGCAGGGCCGGTTACCATGTGGCTATGGAGGCATCTTGAGATGTTGAGCCATGGAACTCTGAGCTTTCAGGTCACTCATCTTTCTTAGAGAATGACTCCAGATTGGAAAGGGAAGAAGAGTTAAGGATAAAACTGTGGGTGTTATACTCGAGAACATTCTATGCATACAAAATGGGAAAAACGAAATTCAAGATGAAGTTGAGAGGCAAGGAGATTACCTGGGAAGAACAAGAGTGGGGGTCAGCAGGTGAGAAGACTGTCCCAGTGGGTCCTGGAAGGGACAGGACTGATAAAGATTATAATAAAAACGGTCTGAGAAGCTGCCTCTGCCTCCCCACACACCTGAGGCTCCCATTCTTGTTTCTCTAACATTCTGATACCACAATAGGAAGTTAGATTAGATATTCACAGAACGGGCAACGACTTTATTACCAAGAATGAGCAGGAAGCAATCTGGAGGAGCGAGGACAAGAACTGTCACATTTCGTCAAGATGCAATTACTGAGACTGAGCTCCAGCCAGGCCCGCACCTCTTTCAATTTCCCTTTTGTTAGCAGTAGGTGCTGGCAGGGGTGCTGGCCACCAGAGCTCCACCCCACGCCTGCCGCAGGGCCACATGGCAGGAAGGACCGCCAGCTTCCCAGCTAGTCTTCGATTCTAAGACTCCTGTCTTTACTGATAGATCCCCTCTGCAAAACAACAAAAGTGATGTCACAGAGTATCATGAGATGGTTTTCTGGGAGGGTGACTGCAAGCTCTCAGCACGGAGCCTTCCATACACAGCTGCTGTCAGTGACGCCAGCACTGATGGACGATCATGACAGCAATCAAGTCCAGGCCAGTCGCAAATGGGGTTTCTGTTTTGCAAGTGATTCCCAGTGCAAAGTTCCGTTTAAGGCATTTTAGTGAGAGGCCCCCAAGTCTTCAGCATTATCTCCCCAACAGCCTCCCTTTTCTTAATTGGAAAACAAACAGCTTTGGTATCCCTTTCAGGACAATACAATTCTAGAGCAAGGTTTGCTGGGCTCAGAATATCCCTTCAATCATTCATCTGCTGGCTCACAGATAGGGACTGAGCACCCACGGTGTGACAGGCACTGTCCCAGGTGCTGGAAATGGCACAGATAACAGAGGTCCCTAATGGAGAGAGACACCCATAAATAACATCAGATTGAGTGGCAGCGACTGCAAGAGAGGAAACAAAGCAGCCCGACACAGCGCATCCTGCAGGGGAGTGGAAACGATCCCCGCTTATTCATCTGATTTCCCTCCATCTGGATCTAACAGCTCCTCGCTGAGTCATCCACAGCTGTCTGTCTGAATTCGCGCCCTGGAAGTAGAGAGCAAGTAGGTCCCACAGGTGTTCAACTACCAGACAGGGCAGAGCAGGGCAGCTTAGAGAAGGAAGGAGAGAGAGAGGATGGCACAGAGCTGGGTGGTCACAGAGCCTCAGATACCAGGGAGATAGGGAGCCTGACGCGCCCCCGTTGCAGCTGCCACCATGCAGCCCTGCAGACAGAACACGGCCACGTCACCCAGGGTGGAGGGAGAGGAGTCGGCAGAGGAGTGGAGGACAATGGATTGGTTTGCCTGGGCTGTTGCAACGAAGCATGCCATGGACCGTGTAGCTTCAACAACAGAGATGTATGTCACAGCTCTGGAGACCAGAAGTCCAAGACCAAGACACCAGCAGGGTGGACTCTTCTGAGGCCACTCTCCTGGCCTGTAGATGGCTGCCCTCTCCTTCCTGTGTCCTAACTTGGTTTCCTCTGTGCGTGTCTCTGTCCTGATCTCCTCTTTTTATAGGAACCTAGACATACTGGATTAGGGCCCACTCATATGGCCTCATTTTACCTTCATTACCTTTTTTTTTTTTTTCAGATGGAATTTCACTCTAGTCACCCAGGAGTGATGCCATCTGGGGTGCAATGGCACCATCTCAGCTCATTGCAACGTCCACTTCCCAGGTTCAAGCGATTCTCCTGTCTCAGCCTCCCCAGTAGCTGTGATTACAGGCGTCTGCCACCATGTCTGGGTAATTTTTGTATTTTTAGTACAGATGGGGTTTTGCCATGTTGGTCAGGCTGGTCTCAAACTCCTGAGCTCAAGTGATCCACCCACCTCGGCCTCCCGAAGTGCTGGATTACAGGCATGGGCCACTGCACCCAGCCTATTACCTCTTCAAACACAGTCACATTCTGAGGTTCAACCTGCAGGGCTGGCTGGTAGCAGGGCCAGGCTGCCCGTCTCTCCCAGTGGGTGAGGCTCTCATACCTTGCAATGTGCCTGTATTTTTTTTTTTTGAGACAGTGTTTCACTCTTGCCACCCAGACTGGAGTGTAGTGGCATGATCTCAGTTCATTGCAACTTCCCATGTTCACGTGATTCTCCTGCCTCAACCTCCCAAGTAGCTGGAATTACGGCGCCTGCCACCATGCCCGGCTAATTTTTTGTATTTTTAGTAGAGACAGGGTTTCACCATGTTGACCAGTCTGGTCTCGAACTCCTGACCTCAGGTGATCCACCTACCTCGGCCTCCCAAAGTGTTGGGATTACAGGCGTGAGCCACCATACCCGGCCTATGTGCCTGTATTTAAAGAGGCAGTTAAGGTAAAATGAGGTCCCATGGGTGAGCCCCACATGTAGAATTCAGATAGTAACAGAGCATCAACATGTCTTGCCTGGTTCAACATATGAATTTGGTGGTGGAAAGAGCCTGCAACAGAGATCAAAGAGACTGGCCATGCCCAGGTGCTACCATAGGCTGGGTCTTGGGTGACTCCTGCACAGCAGAGAATATGGCACATGGCCACCTGCATCCCCAGACATCACTATCACCACTGACAGGGGCTGTAGGAGCAGCTCAGAGCTCTGTCGTGGCCAGGACCCCTATCTTCCCTGCACAAAAAGAGACAGAGAAAGCTAGGAAGGATTCTCCCACATAGCAGGTGACCCTGGGTAATGGCCACATGTGGGTCTGGGTACACATGTGAGGAAGGACCTGACCTTCACAAGGAGAGGGCATACCCATGAGTGAGCAGCAGGATGATGACAGCCAGAGGAGATCCTCCAGTGTGAGCACCTCACTCTGGCCACATGCAGTCTATTTTGAGAGCTACACCCCCAGAAACCTGGTATGTGGCAGAGAATTCAGCAGCTGCTTCCAGAATCTGCTTTCAAGAAGAGGGACTCAGCTGGGTACAGTGGCTTAGGCCTGTGATCCCCGCACTTTGGGAGGCCCAGGTAGGAGGATCGTTTGAGCCCAGGAGTTCAAGACTAGCCTGGGCAACATGGCAAAACCCTAGTTCTACCAAAAAGAATGCAAAAATTGTCTGGGTGTGGTAGTATGCATCTGTGGTCCCGGCTACCCAGGGAGGCTGAGGTGGGAAGATCATCCAAGCCTAAGGGGTCAAGGCTGTAGTGAGCTGTGATCACACCACTGCACTCCAGCCTGGGCAACAGAGTGAGACCTATCTCAAGAGCAGAAAAAGAAAAAGGACTCCTCTGGAGTCCTGCTGCGATTTTCACATGGCCAAACCAGAGATCTGTTCCCTCTCTCTTCCTCTCCCGCCCTCCCACCTCCTAGAAACACCTCGTCTACACCTCCCAAATGCAACATCCCTCTGGCTCCGTCCCATCATGGTCTACACCTCCCAAATGCAACATCCCTCTCGTCCCATCACAGTCTACACCTCCCAAATGCAACATCCCTCTGGCTCCGTCCCATCACGACTGACCCCGTCAGCCTCCTTTGCCAGAACTTCCTCTTCCTGACCATGAACGGCTGACAGCCCAGGCGCAGTCCTCAGACCTCTTCTGTGCTACAGATGCACAGAAGTTAGCTTTGGCCTTGGTTTTCAGCCCAAATCTCCGATTTGGTTTGGGCTTCTGCCTTTGGAAAGCCGAAGAGCTGAATGCCTACGTCATTGTCATTCCTGGCATCCCAGGGCTCGAGGATCAGGTGATCACATCAGTCCGATCATGTCAATAGTAAATCACATCAATAGCATATTACATATTTTCAGTCGAACAGCATTCACAAAACCAGGCAAGACATTTTGATGCTCTGTTACTATCTGAATATTCTCATCCATTATTCTTTTTTTCAGTTAAAAAAAAAAGTGGTATTAATATGTCAAACCACTTGATACTCATGAGATTTTACAACTGTCTTCTCAAGTGCTTATGCAATTATTCAAACAAGATGGGACAGCAGCTACTCCCAAGAAAAAGGCTGCTTGAGCCAAAGGAAGCCTCATGTTCTACTTTATGGATAAGACGACTTGCATGGCAGGACTCACAGACAATCACAGCCACTCCGGAGCAAATGCTGCATTTGCCAGGGCTAACTGAAGAGGGAATCAAAAGGATGGACCTGGAGGGGGGAGGATGCCGGCTTTAAAGCTGTCCCTGCAATTCTGCTCCATAGAAGGCACTGGTGTCTCAGGCAACCATGGCTGAGGTGCAGATGCAAATTCAGAGCCTGCTCTGAGAT